GAGAGCTACACCAAATGAGCTCTAATATATTTGTCCCTCTATCACATTCATTAGTAACCGTGCCTTAGAGTAGTTCGGTTAGATCCCAATTTCCCAAAGTGAATCTTCACCTAAGGACAAGAATTAACTAAACGATTCATGATTCAAGCTCAAATCTTTAAAATGGCGTTGCACTGAGCGAGCGCAGCAGTCCAGCAGTATTTCTGGGTCTCCAACTCATCAGTAGCTTCGGATCTGTGTGGAGGAGAGTTATTCTTGTCTTGTTTAGCTTCTGTTGAGCCTGGTCAGCTGTAACATTGTTACCTGCGGTACAAACCTGTAAAGCTCTCTGTGGCAAACTGTGGTGAAGGGGGCTAGAGTAAATAAAAAAACTGATTGATTAACTGAACCAGTTCAGCATTTAACACATTCCTAGAGAGATGATAATCAGATAAAAGTCATGCACATAGCACATGCTTGATTGCTGACCAGTGAGGCTTTGAGTCCGGAGTGTGGGAAGTGGAAAAGAGAGTGTCAGTGATGGGGCGCTAGAGCGTTGTGATCACCACGCTGATGACACTGTTCTCCTTCTCCACCTGGATTGTAATAGTGCACAAGCATCCTTCCTCCTCCAGCGCACACGCATAGCAGGACAATTGTCATTATTGATCTGTGAAATCCAAACTCAGGCCCGGAGCCGCCTGCCAGCTAGGCACTCGAGCAGGGGAGCTCGGAGAGAGAGGGAAGGGAAGGGGGGAGACCCTACAGGACATCGCGAGTCCTGGAACACAGCTCTTACCTAACAGGCTGCCAGGGGAAACCTAAGGGCTGCAGTCGTACGATCAGAATGTTGTTTCCAATCCATTTCCGGTTCAGAATCGGATTCATCCAATGGACACGGTCCTGGAAATCCATTTTTTGAGGGCACAATCTCCCTGCTGGGTGCTTTTTGTTAGTATGTTTTAGGAAAAGATGTTCTAAAACTATAGAGATTTGCTTTGGTTTTATTAAAAGTGGTGTCTTTCAGCTGACACAGGTGGCCTCTGTCCTGACAGACTATTTTATGTGATGTCTCACTTACTCAGGCATTGACTGACGAAGAGGGAAACCCTAGCGCTTGTTTATTTGACCTTGGTTACACACCTATGTGGGGGTGTGAATTTGTAGGCTTGTTGGTTCCTGTCTAAGGCTGAGCCAAGAGGTTTAGCTACACTATACGGCTGTATCATAACCTGGAGTTAATCTGTTCAGAAAATAAACAGATTTATTTGGCTTTGTATTATACTACAGTACCTTACAGCATTCTGTTTAGTGCCAGTGGCCAAGTATGGGGCTCTTTGTGCTTGTGATTTGCCTAATGAAAATATTCTCTGACTGTTGCACTTTCTGTAATACTGGTGTTAAACTGAAAACAGGCCTAGAGCTGTGCTCCACTGGCGTTGAGGACCCAGCTGGAAGCTGCATGGAATGTCAATAATACGGAGAACAGGAGGCACTTTTTTACCCAAACAGTGTGGCACAGTCTGTCCAGCCATGTTGATGAAGCTGAAAATTTAAAGAAGCGGCAGGTTGAGAACCCCAGATCAATTCGCTGCTAACTCCAAATGGGCCAGATGGGCCGAGTGGCCTCCTCTCTGATAAGAGCAGTTTTTGACCCAATCTTATTAAAAAAACACAGGACATACAATGGGTAGAAACAGAGAGAAGTGGGCATATCTGTGCTTAGGAGGCCCTGGGACAGAGCAGCAACAGACAGGAGATACCTCTGCTTCTTCCAGAGCCTGGCTGACCCCTGTGCCATTGTTTTCCCAGCCTGGCTGTGAGGACAGTGTGTCCAGGGGCTGTTTTTGATGGCATAGCTCATCGAGACTGCCCAGCCATGTTGTTGAAGCTCATACCCTGGTTTCTTTCAAGAAATGGCTGGATGAGATCCTCAGATCAATAGAGAGCTGTTATTGTTCAGAAGGACTGAAGGGCCTCCTGTCGTCTGTGACTGTTTGTCTGTGGGTCATTATACACGAGCCTGGTTGTGTTTTATACACAAATGTGCAGTCTCTTAAGAGCCAGACGTATTACTCCTTCATTGCACATTCCTGTTTAACGGCTCCCAGACAGCTGCCTCCTCTGTCTGACTTTCTCCTGTGCGGGTTGCGGTTCTGGATCTGCTGCAGGCTTCTGCGGGGGTTATCATTAAAGGGCATGATGTTGTGTGTGAGCTGTGGGGATCCCCAACATTGAAGTGAGGCGGTGGGGACTGCCCCCCTCAATCCCATTCAATCAGCAGTCTGTTTCTGTGGCCGGCTGCAGCAGCTGATTAAGTGCTGTGATGCGCAGCAGCCATTTGTCAGTGAATGAACTGGGAGGCGTTAACCCACGGCTCAGAATTGGGGGTGCTGAAGCTGCAGGAACAGCGGGGTTCATGCCACCTGTCCTAGAGAGAGCCGGGCCCCCAGCTTCCCCCAGGCTCTCAGGTAGTACCAAAGGAGAGGAACATGCAGCCTTTGGAAGTTGTTATGCTTTTTACAAAACTGTATTTAAAAACAAAAGCGTATTTTCCAATTCTCCAAGCTCCAACTTATGTTGCAAAAGAAACGTCTCAGGAAATTAATTCAGGTCTAGAATACATTTTTTACAAGCACTTGTATGAGGAATTATCATCAATCTTGCCACATGTCCCCGGGGGGGTTTAACACGCCCAGGAGGTGCTTGTCTGCGCGTGAGATCTCCCTGCGCCAGCCGGCTGCGGGATGCTCGCTGAAGGTCGGACGGAGGACGAGCTCAGTCGACAGTAGAAAAATGAACGTCTGGAAGCGGAATTCGGCTGGGACCCCGTCTCTCTTCCCTGTCCGTTGGCTCAGGCCTGTGCCTCTGGAGCTGTGCGCCTTCCTCCGGCACACTGTGGTGATTTTTTAAGAGTTTTGCCGTGAAACGGAAAAGAAAAAAGGATGATTGGAAATCCTCGATCCACTAAATCATCTGCCAACTCATCAGCTCCAAATGAATTTCAGTCTTTTATTAAAAAGCTGGATAAGCCTGACCCTCGCGTGCCCCTGCAGTTCTGCATTTCAGGGCCGAGACCTTTCACTTCTCCCTCCCTTGTTTTCCAGAGAATGATCTCTGGGGATGAGAGGGGGACTGGGGAGTGGCTGGAAAGAACCCCAATCACCCCCACAGTAATCTTACTTCATAAAATGTTTTCAGATTTTAAAACAGGTGGTGATTTTAAAATGATCTATACAGCTTTTTTGCTTAAAATGCATAACTGTTTAACACCTTAATGTAATGTGAAAAGACAGAAGTGTGACTGGGTCATTCACTTTCTGAAATCTCAGCTGGATTGAGGCCCAGATACCTCAGTGTAACTGGAGGACTGGCTGGGGGACACAGAGGGTTAACTCAAGGCGTTAGGACTCGGGGGGTGAGCCAAAGCAGTCTTGGCTGTCTCAAGCAGAGACTTTCACAGAGACAGCCCCAGAGCTGCCACTTTCTAAAAGCTGCTTGGTAACAGATTTTTGTGCTCATTTTTCATTTCTCTGTTGGTGTACTGTTAGGGAATTCCATGCTGTTGTCTTATGGTTTGGATTAAATAACAGATATTTACAGCCAAGATTGCCTGGGAAGACTGCACTGGGAATGACATCATCGCTGTGCCGCCTGGAGCACACAGGTGCCCGCTTACGGATGCTTTTCTAAAGCCATGTGCACAATTGGTTAGCGTCCCTGCAGCGATACTTTTCCTTGTAGCCTTCAAGACCTTGTTTTTAGATGGTGTGCCCTCACCGGGATGGGACATTGGGGAATTTATGCTGGAGATGAAACATCAGGGTCCATGCTTGACTTCATGGGCAGAGCTGCAGGAAACACAAATTCATGCATTTGAGTTGCTTTTCCTTGGCGTTCCACAAGATTGCCAGAGGAGAGCGTGTGTGTTTCCTTGTCTGTGGGCAATCTGACAGGGCCCTCCGGTTCTGCAGTCATGTAAAAGTCACTGTAGAACTGAAAGGAGTTCTGCATTTGTTTAATTTCCTGTTTGTCAAATTCAGTTCTGAAAATGTTATGCCTTCCTCTCGAATAGTTTTTCTTTCACTTCCCCCCAAACTTTGTAAATTAGGCTAAATGGCCTTGAAGCTGTGCTTCAGTAAAAAAGCATTAATCTTCTCAGTCGGTGTTCCCAGCCCACTCCTGGAAAGCACCGCCCGCTGCAGAGTCAGTGTTTCCTGCAGCTCTGGTCTGGTCGCTGGCGCGAGGTGGGCAGAGTGGAAGACACGTAAAATAGCAAAGAAGCTTCCCTGCGTTCTTGCATTTTCAACACCAGTTTCTGCTCTCAGCCTTACAGGATCCTCTCCTCCTGTGGACTGTGGCTGGCTTTTGCATCGCCCCATGCACACGGCCTGAAACCAGCACTCCCCCCCTTCTCCCCAAAGACCATCTTCATTTTCCCAAACCGTTTCCCATGGCAATCAGTAAAGATAAAAAAGCCATTTTAACATCCCGGCTGCAGAAGGTATTGGTCCCCTGTCTGAGATGAAGTTGGAGAGCATCATTTGGTCTAATGATGTCTTGTGAACTCAATCCCAGTGATCTCAATTACAAAACACTCATTCTAGCAATGAGCAATAACTCTTGTAATCTAGTCATTGAATTTACCCCTACAGGCTTCCAAAGCTTACGTCTGCAATTGTCTGTATCCTGTTTTGTCTTGTAATTGAATCATGTGTGCACAAACCCAAAAGAAAATGTTCTGCATGATAAGATGACAGGCGTGCCACCTGTGTACTGCGAGCACTGGATGCCACATAAGGCCTGAGACAGTGCAGAACACACATATGATCACAAAGCCTCCTCATCTGACTGGTACGTTTCCCAGCCCTGTATACCTGCTGTTTCCATTTTTAATTTTCTCTAATTTTTCCCCCTGATGCAAAAAGTGGCATGCATGAGAATTTAAGTACGTGTTGCGCTCTGAATTGCTGCTTCTGCAATTCTGTTTAACCCCTCTCTCTCTTTCTCTCTCTCCACAGACGTTTATAGTGATAAACAAAGGGAAAACAATCTTCCGCTTTAGTGCCACGCCTGCCTTGTACTGTATAAGTCCTTTTAATCTACTTAGGCGAATAGCTATTAAAATTTTGATACATTCATATCCTTTCAAATGGTGCAGAAGACCGGAAGATGAATTAGTTTAGGTCCTTCTCAAATTTCCTTTTGTTGCAATAGTGTTCGCAGTATGATATATTTGCATTGTGTTTTTAGAGCTGTCTGTCTCCTTGCCACCTGTCCTTGACGACATCAAATCCAACACAGGGGTGTCCAGTCCTGGTTCTGGAGGGCCGGTCAGTTGTCTACAAGTTTTCAGAGTCTCTTCAAAGCAGTAGCATCTAAAGAGCTGGGAGAAACTGTTCAACTGGTACGATTGATCCAATAAGCTGATGGAGCTCATTAAGAGCTGAGTTGAAATGTAAACCTGTAGAGACGCTGACCATCCGGGACCAGGGTTGCCATTCCCTAGTGTAGGATTTGGTAATTTTGGTGATGTGCAGGACATGTTGTAAGAAGACAGCTCTAAGAAACACTCAAATGCATCAAACTGTAAACAGTTCTGGGGTACAATTTGTTTTTTTTTGGGGGGGGGATTGTTCTTTTTAATACAGTTGATATCTTATGTGATCCTCGAAGAGATGTTCCATTTCAAGAGCAGCATTAATAAGAGCAGTATGACTGACTAGTGATGAAGATGATAGCCTAAGAATCCTGTGTGATGAGCTAATGAATGACCTCAAGCATTTAAGTGCTTCTGTCTGGTAGGATATTTGTGTTTTTGCATGGGTAGCCCACAGTTCAACAGTCCTTAACTTGTCTCTCATCAAGACTACAAAATCATGCAATGTGTAATAATCTACACCAAAAGAGATGGGCAGCTCCAGTCTTTGAGGGCCTGGAGAACTGAACTGCAGGCTGTACAGGTGCTTCTCTTTTTGTAATCAAACAGTAGTGATCTGACTTTTTAAGCCGATTATCTGAATAAGTAGATAAGATCTGAGGTAGAATTAAAAACTGAAGACCACGTGACCATTGAAAACTGGAGTTGCCCATTTCTGAGATATACATGCAGTATATATCTAGTTTTATTATATGCATCAAATCCTTGCATTATATTAAATTAGTGACACTAATGATGCACTTAACGTTATGCTCAATTAGACCAGGGCTGCTCACATCTGGTCTGGAGGTCCATTGTGTGCAGGTTTTCTTGGCCTCTTTAAAGCAGCAGCACTCAAAGAGCTCCTCAGTGGGTTCGTTAAGCCAGTAACGACCTCATTTAGCTGGTTAAGAGCTGAGCTGAAATGAAAGCCAGCAGACAGAAGCAGTATTGGGCACCCATGATTAGACAATAAGGGAATTTGGATAAAATGCCCATCTTGGCCTCAAGGAAACCAATCGGCCATAAGTCAGTGCACTGGGATTTTGGGGACAGCAGGAGAGGTTAATTACAGAGCCTCTTCTGTGGAAATGCATAGCTCCTGGAAGCAGCTGCAGTTACCAAGGAGGGTCCTAATCTGGATGTGTAAGGAGTACGGCACAGTGGGAGCAGTTCTATCTGTCCCCACACTTTAGCGCACAAATTTCAGATGGGATGAGTCGGATACCACTACTTCATAAACTTTGCTGAAATCAATCTGGTGAATATGCCAAGCTTCCTCCTTTTAAAACTGTAACCTTGCAACTGCCTGATAGAGATTCCCAATGCTGGATTGAGAGATTCATACAATATCGTCATTATTATAAAATTGTCTGGAGACAGTTTTCATTTTATGCTCTCTTGATATTGTTTTTAATAGATCTTTGGAAGCTGATTTTCTGATCAAAAGTAATAATTATAATTAATTATAACAAAGTACGTAGTGCCTGACATATGTTTTTATTACAGATTATATCCTCCCTGATGTGTTTTTACTTTAGTCTTTAGCTGTATTTTAGATGGCAGTTTATCTTTAGCCTTTTTTGTAAAAGCCCCAGTTAATGAACTTACTTCTTAGTCCACTCTAAAAGACGATGATAATGTTGGCTTGGCTGGTGTGAGAAACGTCCTTTAGCATGAATTGTGTTTTAGTGACTGTGGCTAAAAAGGAGACTTCAAGGCTCTGGGATCATGGTACCAGCTGACAACAACTGTACTTCTGCAATAAATCATTTGTTTGAGCAGGAGGCAAGATGGGAGGACTGAAGAACTGTGGGTGTCCCATTTGTAGTTCAAAAGCACAAAAGTCTTGAGGATTAACGGTAGGAATAGGAAATTTAAATCTGCAATGGGGTGTAAGATTTTTTTAGTTTACTTACCTTCATAAGGTATTTGGAAGTTAGAATTTCTTGCTTTTCTTGCTTTTCTCTGATTTTCGAAAGGAAAGGGGAGGGAGTGTCTTCTGTTTTGCCAGTCAAGTCCTAAAAGCTTCCTTAACCGACTTTTCCTTACAGTATTCAGCATGATCATTATGTGTACAATTTTGACCAACTGTGTATTCATGACTTTTAGCAATCCTCCAGAATGGTCGAAACAAGTAGAGTAAGTATGTCTTCACATCAGAGCATGCTTACCTTTTACATACGTTCTGGTTTCTCAGGGCTGGCACAAAATGTGTGCCGTATATCTGTGTTCTTCAGTCCTGGTCCTGGAGGGTTCCAGTTCAGTATGTTTTATGTTTCGCCCTAAATTGCCTGTTTTTGAAATTCAGTTACCTAAATTGCCTGTTTATAAATGGCCAGTTTTTATTTTTTTAATTCTTATAACTACTTGTGAGTGGTTATAAGATCATTTAAACAAGTAAAATGTGCAATGACAGGACTGTGGTTTTCGAGAATTGAAGTGTATTCAGTTTGTTCCAGACTATCTGGCTTATTATAACACATTTTGTGCTTAATGGATCACTATTAGTTTGTCCTGTCTTTGGAAATCGTATTATAAGTTTTATAACCTTAACGTGTGTTACAGAGTTAAAGTGGTTATCTACAGTATAAAACCCCCTGGGAATGGGTATGTTTCAGGACAGGTGCTGGAGACACTTGCTATATGGCCCTTAACATTTCCTAGGAACACATTTATACCTTGCATGATTCTAAGACAAGTGTGCCAGGTTCGAATGTACCTGATCACCAAGTGGTACTTGACCCAGGGAAGTCATGCTTTAAATCTATATGATGTGCTAGGATGACAACTCTAGAGCAGGGTAGGCAGCTCCAGACTTCTTAGGACTTAGTTCATTTAGCATCTGATAAAAAAAAACTTTTAAACAAAGAGGTGATTTCACTTATCCAGTTATTTAATTTGGTTAATTATGAGCTGGGGCAAAATGAAAAGCAGTGTCTGTGCCACAGGAGGACTGGGGTTGCCTGTCCCTGGTCTAGAATACTGCAGTGGGTTCCAGTCACTATAGATTAGGGTTGGGTAAGCTTCAGAACTTGAGGAGGAGTCCTGTAGTTATTCTTTCAATGAGCAAGTGGTTTGTAGCCCAATTACTTGACATATGTAATGTAGATCAGAGGTGGGATACAGACCATAGCATCCTGTTGTCCTGGAGTTGGACTGGAGTTGCCTGTCCCTGCCATATAACAAAACCCAAATGACCGCCTGTGCAGGTCATATCTGGGTGCAGCTCTTATGGGTAAAGGAGTCTTCAGGCTTGACCGTTAGTTCAGAGATCCACCAGTGCATGCATTGTGAGCGAACTGAGCAGGATTTCTCTTGCAGTCTTAAGATTAATTCCAGTTTATCAGTTCAGTGGACTGTGTGGTTAGAGAGGAGGCGTGATTTAAGTATGCAGTCGTGCTCTTGCCTGTTTCCTGACACTAAATAGGCCATGCCGGTTCTTCTCCTGTTTTGCAGGTACACCTTCACTGGTATTTATACTTTCGAATCAATTGTAAAAATCCTTGCTCGAGGATTCTGTATAGACGGGTTCACGTTCCTCCGAGATCCATGGAATTGGCTGGATTTCAGTGTCATTTCTATGGCGTAAGTATCCTCTGAATGCCTGCTTTCTTTTAGTTCTGATTAACTTTGGAAAATGAACAGTGCAGAAGGGAGGCCTTTGATTAACTCAACCATCCTGTATTTTGGAGACCTAGATAGTCTAGACTTTGCTGGTTCCAATCTGGGCTATGTGATTACCCAATGGGGACTGGAATTCCCTAAATAGTGGTGCACTACCAGCTGAGCATGGCTAAGGATGGGTGGGCTTGAGTCTGCTGGCCTATCTTCCTGTTGCTGTGCTACACTCCCCCTGTTGCTTTCCAGGAGCTCATGAACTTGGGTTGTGATCCAGTTGATGTTGCTGATACTGCCTTGGGTGCTGTAGGACTCAAAATATAAAATAATCAGGATGATTCTGTGCATAATTTAGAGAGATAAAAAATGGAAAGGACAGCACAGTGGTGCAGAGGTTAGCATCGCTGCCTCGCATTGCTGAGGCCCTGAGTTCAACTCTGGCGCTTGGGTGCTATCTGAGTGGAGTTTGGATGGGTTTCATCCAGGTGCTCCAGTTTCTACCCAGAGTCCAAAGACATGCTAGTAGGGTAATTAACTTCTCAAAAATTGGCCCTGGTGTGAGTGTCTCTGTGTCATCCCCTTCACAGCGTATCCTGGCTTGCACCCGTTGCTTGTTGGGATAGGCTCCAGCTCCTCCACGACCCTGTATTGAATAAGCAGTTAGGAAATGAATGGAAAACTGTTTCTCCTGCAGTTTCTGATGTACAAAGGTGCTTGCAGACACATGGTCAGTGTCTCCCAAGCACCTCGGAACCTCAGTTCTTCTCTATCTTTATGTCATATTACATTTTAAGACCTTGTATTTCAATTGAATCTTCAGTCTGCATGATGAGGCTTCGTCTCAGTTTATCCTAATTCATTCTCCTTTGTGCATTTGCCGATGTGGGTATGTTTGTACTGATTTAAAGCAAAAAAGCTCAACCGGTCCAGTCCAGCTTCCAGCTTCCAGCTTCAAGCTTCCAGCTTCCAGCTTCCAGCTTCCATTCATCTCTCTACTTCCTACTTCACACTTTTCCCTCCGCGCGATCCAGGCTCTGCAGAATCTGTATACTGAAAAATTAAGAGATGAAAAACAGCTGATCACTTGATTGAAATAAGTGCTCAGTTCACCTGGTCCCAGGTGCAGGCTGCACGAAACACTTTGTGTTAAGTGATATACATTACCTTTCCCTTATATCCCTTTAAGATATGATATTTCCCTTAACAAGGCTTTGAAGTTCGGTGTGTTAAGCAACACCCTCAAGCACATGGAGCCCCTAATGGGGGATTAAATTATAGGTGTTTCTTGTAAACTGGTCACAGGTTCTTAGCAGTATGGCCTCCTCGTGAGAAGATTCCTCTTCTTAAGAGCAACAAGATCCTACTACATGTGTGTGCGTGTGAATTTGTGTGTGTATTGTGTGTATTGTGTGTGTGTGTATTGCTAAGATTGTGGTTGATTTTGGGCTTCCAAACATTTTTGTAGGAATTTGCATGTTAATTTTGAATGTATTTGCAAAGGTCCTTATGTGTGCACATACTGTATATTGTATTTCCATCCTTAGATTTACTTACTGTAATTCTTTCCTCAAAAACAGAACATTTGGAAACTGCAACTGAAATTATTATGACTTTACAAGTAAAATCTTCTGATTCTCTCCAAGCTTCAAGAAATGTACCAAGCATGACATATTTATAACCTAATAGAGCACTGAATCTTCAAAATAAGAACATTCTTTGTTTTAGATAATTAATCGTTATGATATTCATATTGTAGAATAGAACATAAGTAAAATGTACAAAAGGTTTAAGAAATGCAGACACACCGAGGACCTCTGTTCTGGGAGGTTAGGGTGGTGCTTTTGTCATAAGGAAAATCTCTCCCTAACTGTGAAAATGGTACAAAAATGCACATTTCATCACAGCAAAAATTTGTTTTCAGAAATCAAGGGATGAGTGTATATTTGTTTTTCCAGCAGGAACTGACAGACCTGTGATCCGCTAGCTGGTATGCCGGCGATCTGATTTTAGCTTGGGCGTGAATCAGCCCCATCTGTTTGCCTGATTGTGTCACATTGCTTCCTAGTCGGTGCACAGAGAGCCCCCAGGGTGAAGGCTGCAGGGCTGTGTGTCGCTCACCTGCTCTCTCCTGTTCAAGGACCCTCTCACCTCCCACGCACACCCTTCTTTCCAGGCACCTGCCGCCTCTTTACACCGCTAGGGGCGGCTGGAGAAGACCTCTGCCGGTGCAAAAACCGTTTCGGTGTGGGTCTTCCTCATTGGTACAGCAATGAAGGACGTGTGAGGGTGTGAGTGGGGATGTTGATTCCTGTACAGGGGTGATGGCAGTGCTGAGAAGGGTGAGGAGGACAAGGGCATTTTTAACAAAAAAATAAAAAACTGACGTCATGAGATTTTAAAATCGGAGTTGCCGATTGGTTCCAATAGCAGTGAGGTCTGTTTTTTTTTACCTAAATGTAAGCCCTTTCACCGTTCCAGCCCTTGGTGTCCCTCTGGGAAACAAGCCTGGGGAAAGGGCAATGTCTGTTCCTTTATTTCTTGTGCACATTGGCCGTATTCCCTTTCCCTTCTCCAGCAGTTGCATTGTCTTCATTAGCCAGGCAGCTCTTGTTTTCTCTTAAAACTGTTTCTTTGTTGTTCACTACAAGTAACTTTGATTTGATTCTGCAGGTATGTAACAGAGTTTGTAAACCTAGGCAATGTCTCAGCTCTGCGCACGTTCAGAGTGTTGAGGGCTTTGAAAACTATTTCTGTAATCCCAGGTAAGACAGCAGTGGGGGGAGAAGGGTCGGTGTTAGGTGTGTTTGGTTGTTTTTGTTTCTTTTTTCGATGGGTAGGCTCTGTGAGTGCCGTTTCCTCCTGGTCGGTGGTGTTGTGCTCCCGTCTCTGGCGTGTTGGTTTTGTCATCGTGTTTGTGTGTGATCCTCCCTTATTTTCAGATATGTCACAGAGTTTGTGGACCTCGGAAATGTGTCCGCGCTGAGAACGTTCCGAGTTCTCCGAGCATTGAAAACTATCTCTGTCATTCCAGGTGAGAGACAATTTAAACACTAAGGCTGATCTGTATCTTTTTTTTTTAATTATTAATATTATTTCAATTTTGTTTTACTCCTTGAAACTAGGTTTTGTTTTTGGTTTTCTGAAAAAAAAATATTTATTTTTAAACAATTCTCAAAAATGGTACCAATACATTTTTGATAGGCTTCGCAGTCTAATTTGAGTCTCAAGGTTCTGCTCAGTTTCTCCCAATCACCCCCAGTATAAATAAAATGAAATAGAATTCAAGTAAAAATGTAGGCGGATGTGTGAATATGCAGAATAATTCTTCATTGAGGATTTAAAAAAGTATAACACATCCAGCAGCAGATACTGGCTTTAGCAGTTTCTAACGTTCTGGCCAGTTCTTGCACATGTAGTAAAAAAAAGAGAGAGAAACATGTGAACATAAATGAACTTGTATTCAGGTATGACCTAAGGATTAAACAGTGCACACTTTGTTAGTTTACATCTGAGGCGCAGAAGCCTGCAGCCTTTGCTCATCCTGTAAGTGAATTCTGGAACCTGATGATCTGCCAAGCTAGGATGGAGTGACCTTGACATAATCAAATACAGCCCTCTGGAGAATCAATAGGGGAGTTTTGCCCCAAGATGAAAACTCTGTAGTATTTAAAATGTCTCTATGATGAGACATGCTTAGACCTGAAGGTGTCAGTTTTCATGTCTTCCTGCTCTGCCAGGTTAGCTAACAGAGCTATCAGAGGTTTCGGTTTGCTTGCAACGACACCCATAGGTTTTCTCTTATATGAGGCTGGATCTGTTCTTATCCAGCTGATGGCAAATCACTGTAAACTCTAGGAATGCATTCAGCACAGGGAATTGTGCTAACACCTCGCTTACTTGCTGAGAGTGCTTCATGTTTCTGTACTGCTTGAGGTTCGCCTCCTTACACACTTGCAGTGGTAATACTTTTGTACTGGATTAGTTATAATTAAGAGTTCAGCTGGAACACAAAAATACCTTTTTTATACCCTTGGACTGTAAAAAAAACCTGTTAACAAGACTTTCTGACCTTTGACTTTATTTTCTCTGTTATTAAAATAATTGTATTTGTTTGGCACTTTTCACTCAAATGGATCCCAAACCACTTGAGACATAGAGAGGGACCCACTTTACCTTTCACTGGAGCTCAGCCACACCTGGGTGAAACACTGCAGCATTTCTGCACCAGCAGATCGTGGGGAGGAGTGAGAAACCGCATCACCAGTGAAACTAAGCAGGAATGTTCGGGAGGGAAGATAGAAGCCCAGAATGCAATTTACTTATGAGACCAAGGATGCCCCTACTTTTATGAACAGTGCCATGGGATTTTTAATGACCAAGTACTCAGACCCTCAATTTATAGTGTCGCATGAAGGATGGCTCCTTCTATAGTACAGAGTTCCCAGTCACCATGCAGGGGCATTGTTCTGATTCAGAGAGGAGCGCCTCCTACAGGTCCACCAGTAACCACTTAAACCAGCAACCTGGTTTTCCTCAGAGGTCTCCCTTCACAGAACTGATCATGCCTTTCTTACCTTTTTAACTTCTACTCCCCTTCCTTCCTTGCACTTCCTGCTACAAGAAACAGACTTGATTTAATTCCCTAATAAACATGTCAAAGATGTAAAGAGCTGAGTGCCTTCAGCTCTTATTAGAAAAGGGTAGTGCAGCATAAGCAGTTTTGAAATCAATATCACAAGCAGCCAAATTCCAAAACCCTGAACAAGAAATAAAACAAAAAACAAGAACATTTTAAGATCTGTTTAACTTCTGGATAGAGGGATGAAATTACAGCTTAAAAAAGGATTCAGCCCTTGTGAAAAAATGAGCTCGGGTTGGGTAGGAATATGCACGCTTACACCCATGCACTCCTCCAGATGAAAATGGCATACCATTTAGTGAGATCCAGAGGAACATCCTTTATTATTTATTCACGAAGACTGCCAAGCCTAGATTGTGAACACATTTTATGCTGCATGGTGCTTTCCAACAGTCACTTGCTTTTATTATTACATTGGCTAAGAGCTCAGCCGACAGATGGTTTCTTTTTTTGATTTTTGATTTTTTCTTGATTTTTTAAAATTAATTTGTTTTAAACAAACACGGAGGATTTTTTACATCCTACCTGAAAATTCAAAACAAGAGTGCCATTGTAGCAACTGTCATGCTCCACTCGCTAAAAAAAACAGTGAAGCCTGGGGATGGAAAAAACTGATATTCGTTTGCGTGCATTTCCACCTTCAGATCTTGACTGTTTTGCTTAAAGGGTGGAAATTATTCTGCGTTGATGGGAGATGGTGTGGAAGCCTTAGGGAAAAAACACATTGGATCCTACTAGCTGTGGTTCCCTAAAGCCACAGCAGATCCTACTGTCTGTGGTTCCCTAAAGCCATATCGGATCCTACTGTCTGTGGTTCTCTAAAGCCAGCGCGGATCCTACTGTCTGTGGTTCCCTAAAGCCACAGTGGATCCTAGTATCTCTGCTTCCCTAAAGCAACAGAGGATCCGAGTATCTATGGTTCCCTAAAGCAACAGAGGATCTGAGTATCTATGGTTCCCTAAAGCAACAGCAGATCCTACTATCAGTGGATCCCTAAAGCCACATCGGATCCTACTGTCTGTGGTTCCCTAAAGCCACAGCAGATCCTACTATCAGTGGATCCATAAAACCACATCGGATCCTACTGTCTGTGGTTCCCTGAAGCCACAGTGGATCCTAGTATCTATTCTTCCCTAAAGCAACAGCGGATCCAAGTATCTATGGTTCCCTAAAGCCACATTGGATCCTACTGTCTGTGGTTCCCTAAAGCCACAGTGGATCCTAGTATCTATTCTTCCCTAAAGCAACAGCAGATCTGAGTATCTATGGTTCCCTTAAGCCACAGCAGATCCTACTATCAGTGGATCCATAAAGAAACAGCAGATCCTATTGTCTGCGGTTCCCTAAAGCCACAGCGGATGCTAGTTTCTGTGGTTCCTAAAACACAGCGGATCCTACTATCTGTGGTTCCCTAAAGCCACAGCAGATCCTACTATCAGTGGATCCCTAAAGCCACAGCAGATCCTACTATCAGTGGATCCATAAAGCAACAGCAGATCCTATTGTCTGTGGTTCCCTAAAGTCACAGTGGATGCTAGTATCTGTGGTTCCTAAATCACCACAGATCCTACTATCTGTGGTTCCCTTAAGCCACAGCAGATCCTACTATTTGTGGTTCCCTAAAGTCACAACAGATCCTACTATCAGTGGATCCCTAAAGCCACACCAGATCCTTCTATCAGTGGATCCCTAAAGCCACAGTGGATCCTACTATCTGTGGTTCCCTAAAGCCACAGCAGATCCTACTATCTGTCATTCCTTAAAGCCACAGAAGATCCTACTATCAGTAGATCTGTAAAGCCACATTAGATCCTACTATCTGTGGTTCCCTAAAGCCACAGCAGATCCTTCTATCAGTAGATCCCTAAAGCCACAGCAGATCCTACTATCAGTTGATCCGTAAAGCCACACTAGATCCTACTATCTGTGGTTCCCTAAAGCCAAGGTGCATCCTACTATCAGTGGATCCCTAAAGCCACAGCGGATCCTACTATTGGTGGATCCCAAAAGGCACAGCGGATCCTACTATCAGTGGATCCATAAAGCCACAGCAGATCCTATTGTCTGTGGTTCCCTAAAGCCACAGTGGATCGTACTATCAGTGGATCCCTAAAACCACAGTGGATCCTACTATCGGTGGATCCCAAAAGGCACAGCAGATCCTACTATCTGTGGTTCCCTAAAGCCACAGTGGATCCTACTATCTGTGGTTCCCTAAAGCCACAGCGGATGCTAGTATCTGTGGTTCCTAAGACACAGCTGATCCTACTATCTGTGGTTCCCTAAAGCCACAGCAGATCCTACTATCAGTGGATCCCTAAAGCCACAGCAGATCCTACTATCAGTGGATCCCTAAAGCCACAGCAGATCCTACTATCAGTGGATCCCTAAAGCCACAGTGGATCCTACTATCTGTGATTCCCTAAATCACCATGGATCTTAATATCTGTGGCTCCCTAAAGCACAGCAGTTCCTAGTATCTGTGGCTCCCTAAAGCTCCCCTTTGGTAATTCCAGTAGTACCCACTCACTGCATTTCTGTCTGTGCCAGGCTGCCAGTGTTTGATTCCAGACCCTTGAGAGCAGTGATTCCAGTTGTCAGACCCAGACTTGAGTGTCTGATACATTTACTGACCCTCTTCCTATGAGAAGAGGTCCTAAGAGATGAGGCATCAGGGCTTCACGTTTTCACCCTGAGAATGACATTGTGTCTCAAACATTGACTGGTCTTCCTGGGTTTTTAAGGAAGGAAGGGCAGTTTGATGACTCTGGCCTGAGTCATCAAAAGCGAGCGCTGTGCGTCCGTCTGCAGCTCCTATTGTTTACTGCAGACTAGCATGCTGCCAAGCCCTTTTCGGGTCTGAAATCTCGGCCCCTCTCTCTGTAAAGGAGAGATTTTGTTTCGGATGGTGCATACTCCCCGGTTCCGCAGCCTCCTCTTCAGGCTATCGGCCTACTCGCTCTCCTGGCCTGTGTCTTCTGCTGTTCTGCGCGTGGCCTGCCGGGGGCACTGGCCCTGGTGTTTCCTTTTCCATTTCCTGAACTTCAGTTTTGGTTGAACAAGGGTGGCAGGGGTGAGAGGAAGATGACAAGGAAAAAAAGAAAAAAATATATGTTTTCTCAAAAGCTCCAGAGGGAGTACAAGTCAAATCTTTCTTTTCAGCCTTGGAGTTTAAATGACCTGCATGCAGTTCCATCTCCCTGCTTGTCCTCCTGCTCCCAGTCCTCTAGTTTTGCTCATTGTTGTGATGCTATATTATTTCCTGATGAATGTTTAATTAAAATCCACATCATTAGGAGCCCTTCCACAGTTTCCTCTGTCTTGAGTGCAAGTCTGGAGGCAAGGGGGGGGGGTATTAATAGCATCTAATTCTTATAGTTTTAAAATCCAACATGTATATAGTACATTAAAAATGAAATTTGTAAAGAATAAATAAAACAGCCTACCTTAATTGTGCATTATGTCAAAGTCATTTTGAAAGGTAGTGTCAAACGTACTACCTTCAAAGTTTCCTTTTTGACTGTTTTCAGAAATCTGGCACTCAGGAATTTACAGTAATGTCACTTCTGAAAATCACAATCTCCAGATAGGGGGAAAGCATGATGGAATGGCTCTTAAACTTTGTTCTCTGTTCTTTGGAAATGTGAAAAATAATCATGTTGATTTAAAAAATGGTTTAAATTTTGAAGAGTTTCACAGTAAAGTTACATGGGTTTCATTTTTAGCTAGGACTACATGTATATGTGTGAAAGGGGAATTTTACTTTCCCTTTTAATGCATCCTGAATTTCTACTTAATACTTCTTCAGTTTATTGATGGAGCAGATCAGTTCGGCAGCACATATACTAAAATTGCAGTATTAGCACTGATTAGGGTGGACCCCGTGGACTGACCACAAATTTGTTCAAGTGTTTCAAAGCGGGGGGAGTCGGGAACAAGCTACCCACCCACATGGTTGAAGCTGATACCCTGGTTTCCTTCAGGAAAAGGCTTTATGATATCCTTGAATCAATCATCTGCTAACACACAGGTGGGCCAAATGGCCTCCTCTCGTTTGTAACTTTTCTTGTGTTCATTCCAATTTAGAGATAATTTGCCCTGCCTCTGTATTCTAATAAGGTCTGTGGTAACCAGTCACAGTAAATGAGGAGGAGTTATTGCAGAACAGGGCTGTGTCTACCTTTTAAATAGATAATAATTAATAATAATTACTCACACTTATATAGCGCTTTTCTGGACACTCCACTCAAAGCACTTTACAGGTAATGGGGACTCCCCTCCACCACCACCAATGTACAGCATCCACCTGGATGGAGGATAGATGGAGTATTTACATGTGAAGAAGCAATTGGCTATTAGACCATTTGAATTAGTGTCATGCCGTAACAAGGGTATCCTGAAACACATTGGTAAATCACATACAGATTTGTCCAAAAAATACTGGGCAATGATAAAAGGCAATCCTCACCTATTACTGAACAAAACATCAGGGCAACATTACTCATTTAGATACCTATGTGCTGCGAGTAAATTAAACATACTGTAGTTAAATTGTTATATCGCCACTTAATGATTTGAGCTTGTATCAAAACTATTTTTTCTGTTATAGAGGGTTTCCGAAGAAAGAGAAGTATTAATAATTTTTTAGGGAAGGGGAGTGAGTGTAATATTTTATGTAAAACTGTAACCCAATTGAATGATTTTCTGTCTGCTAGAAGTGATGACTTTCCTCACTAAAGCAATTAGAGTTATTGCAATTACTGTCATTATGCTTTAGATTTTGTTACTGATGCTCTTTAGATCTGTTGTGGAAATGTCTCCTTTGTTAAGAACTTAAAAACGGTTAAAAACTTCAGCCCATTTAGCCCTTTTGATAGTCAGTAGCTAATTGATTCAATGATCTTATCCAGGCTTCTCTTGAAAGAAGCCAAGATATCGGCTTCAACAACATGGCTGAGCAGGTAGTTCCAGACTCACAGATTCTTTGGGTTTAAGATATGCCTCCTATTCTTGGTTTAAAATGCACTTTCACATAGTTTCCCCTTGAGTTCTCTGCTTTGTGTTTCACTGTTGATTCTAAAAAGAAATCCCCTAGGTGGAACATTTCTGTGATGATTATGAATACTTGTATCAGATCCCCACATAGACTTATCTGTTCAAAAATAAAAAGGTTCAGTTCCTCTAACCTTTCAGTGTAGGACATTTCCTTCAGACTATAGAGAGTTAGTTCCTTCAGCCTGTCAGTGTGGGACACTCCCTTCAGACTAAAGAGACTCAGTTTCTTCAGCCTGTCAGTGTGGGACACTCCCTTCAGACTGAATAGACTCAGTTCCTTCACCCTGTCAGTGCAGGACAGTCCCTTCAAACTAAAGAGACTCAGTTCCTTCAGCCTGTCAGTGTGGGACACTCCCTCCAGACTAAAGAGACTGTTTCCGGCTGTCAGTGTAAGCCCTTAATCCTTTAGACCTGGGATGTATCTAGTTACACTTCTCTGGAATGCTTCCATGGTACTATTGCTCCAGTGCTGCAGTGGTTTCAGGTTTTTCTTTCTTGTGAACCACCACCCCCAACCAAAGTCTCCAAGGAAAAATAATGAGAATCCTCCCTCATTTCTTATTTATCTTATTTATCAGACCAGAAAACAGAGCTAAAGAGATTCAGACTTTACCCTGCAAAGTGGCTGGTTAATTTCTTGGGTTTAGCCAGTTGCAGGCTGTTTTATGGGGCCTTCAGCAGGTGCAGCGTAAAGCCTGCTACCTGCATGAAGGTGTGATGTTTGAAGATACGATGGCATTTCTGCTTTGTAAATGTGCCATGTTAAAGCACTAGGGGCTTGGAAATGCTGGGAGAGATCACAGCACTGTACCATACGAGCCTCGTCTGCACCGCTGCATCTCACGTTTGTCCGTATTGTTTTGAGCTTAGATGATGAGAATTAGAATTATTCTTATATGACTCTATGTGGTCCACCTCCTGTTTAATTTTTTCCCCTTATAAGAAGAATATAAAATTGCTATTATAACCGTAGTGATTGGCAATCAGAGGTTAGTGACAGCCCTGCAATGTTGTGCCTGCCTTCCATTGCTCTGTGGTCCTTGGCAATAGTCTACTGTTTTCCTCTGTCTCTTTGTTGCCACCCTGCAGGCCTGAAGACCATTGTAGGTGCACTGATCCAGTCAGTGAAGAAGCTGTCAGACGTGATGATCCTGACCGTGTTCTGTCTCAGTGTTTTCGCCCTCATCGGCCTGCAGCTGTTCATGGGGAACCTGCGGCAGAAGTGTGTCTTCTGGCCCATCAACACCACCGGGCTGTACCTGAGCAACGGGAGCCAGGGCTTTGACTGGCGCGAGTACATCATGAATGACAGTGAGTCCCGCCCGCACCCTCTCCCCTGCTGAACTGCCTGCTGGTTTAGTCCTTTGGGGCTCTTGTAGCCCGCACGCCTGCTTCCCACAGTTAGCGTTTGGATGAGATCCTCAGATCAGTAACCAACTGGCACTCACTTCACCTTGATTGCCCTTGTTTGACCCAAGGAATCTCGCTGTTGAAGGAGTCCACATTCCTGACCGGACAGGGTCCAGTCCCGGTTGACTTCAGTAGAAAGCAACTATTTTCACTCTTGTGTGATGTATTTCCTATGTCCAGATGTCCATAAGTGAGAGCCTGATGTCAGTTAAGTGTTTTTTGGGATAGGATGGGTTCAAGAGAGCCTTTGCTTTTGCCTTTGCCTTTTGCCTTTGCTGTCTTTGCTTTTGCAGTACCTAGCAACAAGTGAAAACTGGACACAGCTTTCCAGTAAAGGAACTGGGTGAAAACATGGTGCACGATCTTGATTTTTATTATACCATGTTAGTACACCAAATCAGTAGGTTACTCAGGAACCACCAGGCCTTTATTGATTCATACTATTAATACTATTTTTATTTCTTATTTCCAGCAAATTTTTACTTTGTGCCTGGACAAATAGACGCTCTGCTGTGTGGAAACAGCTCTGATTCTGGGTGAGTTGTTCACTGAGATCTTTACAGACCCTTCAGTTTTCTCAGCTTTAAACAAAACACATGCCAGAATTCACTGTGCCTTCATCAAAGCCTTCAAAGACTAAAGTGATCATAAATTTTCAATGTAGTGGGGATTCCTTCAATGTTTATTAGATGCTTAATGTTTATGCTTATTATTCTTCAGTATATTGAGGAGAAAGATGGGGGGTTAATAGGTCAATGATTTCGTCATCACTTGTTTGCTCAAGATCGCTGCTGTTTGCAGCAAACCCTGAAATGGATTGAAGCTGATTTTTAACAGGAGTCCTAATTTCTCTTAGTCAAAACATACCTCTTCTCTCCATCCAGTCGTTGTCCTGAGGGATACACCTGCATGAAGGCTGGGAAGAACCCAAATTATGGCTACACCAGCTTCGACACCTTCGGATGGGCCTTCCTGGCTCTGTTCCGGCTCATGACCCAGGATTTCTGGGAGAACTTGTACCAGCTGGTGAGTCCATTGGGAGGTTATGTCTATCGATATAAACCGCGCATCAGAAGAAGGTTATGTTTTATGGCAGCAGCAGGTTCACAGAGTTACCATTTGTAAAATTAGTCTTTAATGTTTCAGGTGGATTGGCATTTTATGGAACAGACATGAGATGGCTAATTCTTCATGCTGATTAACATGCGTCATCAACAGAGCCAATCAGCAATAGTCTACTGTGAAAGTCACAGGCTAGTAGTGTCTGAGGCCACTGCTGGAATGAATACAAGCTGTATCACTGTGACTCATGCTTTGCACCAGGTTGCAGATGCTGTGTTTTGGGATTCTAGCCCATTCCTCTTGTAAGTCCTGGACAAGCAATGTCTGTTTACTGGTGTCTGAGCCCTAGATGCCACACATCATTCCACAGATGTTCAATGGGGGCTCAAGTCTGGCATGTGGGGTGTCCCAGCCGGCAACAAGACATCATTATGCAAGCAGCACTAAAACGTATGTTGTCCGGCTGGAACATGTCAGTGAACTGGTAGTCATGTCAGAATGAGCCCCCGGAGGGGCAGCACTGATGAATTGTCAGGGATTCATTAGTATAGTGCCATGCAGTCGTGTTGCCGTCAGTCAGTACAGGTGGAGCTCTTTAGGGACTAGTTAGGTCTGCCCAGAATATCAAACTCCACTGATCATGGTAAGGTGTCGCCACTCAGTCCCTGGCCTAACATTGACAGACACGTTAGAAACTGCCATTGAGCGACAGTGTACTGACTTACTCTGGCCACCCACATAAATATGGCATGACATTCTCTTGATAAGCTGAAGTTATTTGATCCCTTCTGTGTTTTTCTTAATTTTCACCAGGTGTGACTTTTCAACAGGTTAAATAACAAATGACCTCTCTCCACAATGGGGATTGCCCCCCAACGCCATGCCCCGTGCCAACCCTCTCACCACAAGGAGAGCCCTGCCATGCCCCGCACAAACCCTGTCATATCATGCTCATAGCAACTGCTGGGCAGCAGCTGATGTCTGGATAGCAGGATAGCAGATGAGATCCCCTGTGAGGATGTGAGCTGTGTTGTTGTGTCCTTGAGCACCATATGCAGTTCTGCAGTCATCCCAGCTGTGTTATCAACTAACTGATGGGGGTTTAAACTCAGAAGGGTAGATGGAGGTTGAGAATTGGTTTTGGTGTTTTGAACCAGGCAGGCTTCATTATTGCTTAAAGTATTGCCGATGGGCGTGCTTTTCACGGAGGTTTTACTGGCAAGAGTAGTTTTTTTTTGTGAAGTGGGGGAAGAGTGTTCCTCTTGTTACAGGGTCATGGTGGGTTGCATTTAAAAAACAAAGTGCACAGTGCACTGCAGCATATTGCATTTGCAAACTCCCTCAGCCTCCCTCCCTTCACCCTCCCTCATGCTGCCTGCAGATCACATTTATAATTGATAGATGCGTCCGAGAGAATTACTCTCCCCTCTCTGTGAAAGGAACCACAGTTAAACGCAGCTGGAGCTGCCACCTGGTGAGAGCCTGCCTTGAACACTGGTGCCACCCTGAATTAACTGCAGGAACTGGAGCAAAGCTGCAGATTGTTGTGAAACAATGGACGAGGACGAGTGTCACTCTTGCCAGCGCAGCATGCAAAGGCACAAACAGGGCTCTGATGAAATCAATCTTTTTATTTCCTAAAGGGAAACTCCTGTTAACAAGTTGTGGCTGTTGTCACCCTGTGTGACATCATTTGTGAGAATTTTGAGATCAGGTGATCACTATCTCTGATAGCTGCAGACCAAGAAATGAGACCGACAATGCTTTTTTTCAGTTTAATTTGTTGTTCACAGGCTTAAATGCATAGTGCCTCTCTAATAGGCTTCAGAGAAAGTGCCCTGTTTTCATTATTCCTCACAATGAGCTGCGAGGGAGTCTCACTATCTCCTGTTATCGTGGGAAGATTATTAACTTAGAGCAGACTGTTACAGCAGGAGATGTACAAGTTCACTTATAGAGGAGGCTTTCTACCCATTAGGGAAAGCCTTGTCTATATACGTTCAATTTAATTACACTGCAACATTGACTGGATCTTGAGAAAAAATATATCTGCCTGTATATATCTGGACAAGGTTGACTGCAGTAAGAAAGTCGAACCCTCTGGGTCTTCTTCTGGGTCAGCAGTGAAATACAAACTCTAGAACCTTCTCATTGGCAGCCTCTCTCATCTTCCCGTGTCTCAGACTCTGAGGGCTGCTGGGAAGACCTACATGATCTTCTTTGTGCTGGTCATCTTCGTGGGCTCCTTCTACCTGGTCAACCTCATTCTGGCTGTGGTCGCCATGGCCTACGAGGAGCAGAACCAGGCGACGCTGGAGGAGGCGGAGCAGAAGGAAGCAGAGTTTAAAGCCATGTTGGAGCAGCTGAAGAAGCAGCAGGAAGATGCCCAGGTCAGCTGACTTTCCTTCTTCTTTCCCCATTTTCTCCAAGGATGTTATCTATAGCAAGGAATGTTATCTAGATAGATTGGAAATGTCAGTGTAGACCAGGTGATGGGCGTATGAGTGAAACTGAAGGACTGTAGCAACTGTAGGAACTATAAAACATGAACAGTGTTGTAGTAAGGAAGACATTTAAGGGAGCTCAGGGGGCACCCTGGTGATGTGCATGTCTTGCAGTTGTGCTGTGTTGCCACCTGCATGGCAGACTTTTTCATAGAACTGAATGTGCCCCACCGTGACCATCTCTCTCCCCCTACCCCAGGCGGCTGCCATGGCAACGTCAGCGGGCACGGTGTCGGAGGATGCGGTTGAGGACGACGGTGGGGGGCACATGTCCCGCAGCTCCTCGGAGATCTCCAAGCTCAGCTCCAAGAGCGCCAAGGAGCGCCGCAACCGCAAGAAGAAGTGGCGGCAGAAGGAGCGGGGCGAGGAGAAGGGAGACAGCGAGAAGTTTGTGAAGTCCGAGTCTGGTGACAGCATCAAGAGGAAGTTCCGGTTCCCTGGGGACAACCGGCTGGGCAGGAAGTCGTCAATCATGAACCAGGTGGGGCTGTGGGGGTTGGCCCCAGCTGGTGGGGGGGGAGCGGTTTGGACAGAAGTGCAAGGTATGAAACTGGGGCCTCCTGAGGGGCTCGAACAGTAAAGTGACTTGTCTGATGAAAGTTAGGGTTCTGTGATCATGGGTTCGAGTCTGGATTCCCCGACTGGAGCTGAGCAATCAGATGCATGCCTCCGAGGATTGGGTGGGAATGGTTAGCTAGGGCTCTGTCGGATTACAGCACAACCCTTTGGCGTCCTGGGCTATCGGTGAGAGACACACCTCTCATCCAGTGGGCATCAGTTCAAGCTTCCTCACTCTGGGGGCTGAGGTGAGGCTTGGCTCATGGGCTGGAGCCAAGCCCTCAAACATACGTTTGCCTATTTCAACATCAGGTGAGCAGAACAAAATAAATAACTGGTGATTATTACATTCAATTTAAAACATATTACAAACAAAAAAGGTGTGAAACAGTATGTTGAGTTCAGTTAAAATCCTTTGATACATGCAGAAAACCTTTGGTTTTTAAACTTAGAACTTATGTGCTAGTGGTTCTTTTCAGAAGTAATTTCTTGCAGGTAAACAACACTGTGCACAGAGACTTAGAGAGCTGCCCCTTGATTTATCTTCACTATTATTTTAAGTCCTTTTCTCTGGATTAGAGTAAAGCACTGCTAGTAGCTAATTGCTCACTGTAATAGAAAGCAAGCACTAGTAGTAATGATTGCAAGTTTAGGCCAAGCCTGAGAGGGGTTTTTGGCTTTTGGTGAATCTGTTTTGTAGAACTATCATTAGAGATGCAAACTAGATAAAGTTATTGCTACAGGACTTAATAAGCAGCTCTTGCTGCTGTTACCTCAGCTTTGTCTGAGAGTCCAGGAGCCAGGTTTCTTCTGTGTTGTACAGGCAGCGAGAGTGAGGTGGGCTTTCACTGTGAATAATTAATAAGGCCACCATGAATCTTTCAAAGGATGTTGAGAGCAATGTCTTTCAGTCTCTTTCTATCGTTGTTCTTATGGTCAACCCTGTCGGACACAGGAATGAGCTTCCAGTAGCACAGAAATGTCTGAAGCAGAGGGCAGAACACTGCTGTATTCCAGCTGAGATCTTAATAGCTTGAAAGAGTTCATTTGCTTAAACATATAGTTCACCCACCCCCTCAAAGTTACATGCAGTAAATGACTGAAATATGAACTACTTTCAAAGTGCAATGACTTGCCAAATCATCCAACTCATCACTGGAGAGCCCCAATCCAGTTTGTCCTATAGGCCACCTTAAATCACCCATTTCTAAAGAGGGGGAACACGTGTAAGCTATTCATTAAACAAGTAATTTGTTCTCTGTAACTGGCACTCTAGTGTTTGAGGTCTTCAGATTTGTTTTCCAAATGATCCCTATATTGATTAATTTAAGATCTTGCTTGATGAATTAAAGTCCAAACTTTCAAACATGGTGATTTAATGGTACCTCTAAAACCCGCTGGGTTGGGTTTTCTCCAGGCCTGGAATTTGGAGGTCTGTGTTTTCATGGCTAAAAAAGCCCTGAATTAATGTCAAATGTCTTGATTTAGGACTAACGGACAACAGTTTGAAGAAGCTGTGCACACATCGTCTTTGCTCCTTTGGTTCTGAAGGATGAAGGTGTCACTATAAGATGGACAGACGTTTCTCAGTTTTAGTGTATCTCTGTCATTTCCTCTACCTGCCAGCTTCAGCACCTTCCCCCTAGTCTCCTATTTCCTTTACCCCTGCTCCTGCCTGCTGTGTTCTGCCAGATGGATGATCTCGGTGGGAGCAGTGGAGTAATCTGTTCCTGTCCAGCTTGCCACATGGGACCTCTTCCCTGGGCTCTGGACCCTGGGCTCACAACTTCCCTGCTTTGCATGCAACTCCGAACAGCAGACAGGATGTTAGCATTCCCAGACGCTAGCAGTGATATAAATAGCTTAAGCTTGTTGTGCCAAGAATCTGATTCTCCTGGGGAGTGCAGGCTTTGGTACAGTGCGGGCACTGCCAACCTGTGCCCTCCTCTGCGTCCTTGCACTTTCATCGCCAGCCCCTACTGCCTGGTGGCTCAGTGTACAACATGTCAAGATGGCACCTACAGCTGAGCGGTTTCTTTACCAGACTAAACAACTGATTGATTGGACCCTGTAGCACCTCCTCTCAGGACCCTGGAGAGGCTCTGTGTTTTGGCGCTTTGTCATCTGCTGTTTGCCAACCTGAATGCAAGTTATTTACTGGCTGTTTTTAAGGGTTCTTGGCCCTCCACTTTTGAAATAACTTTAAACTGGGTCATGTCACCGGCCAACTATGATCCAGGATTCTCTGAGTGGTGCTGTGCAATCGGTTAAGCACCTCCGGGGGTTGGGTGGGAACGGTTAGCCACAGATCTGTCAGATCACAGCGTCCCCTTTGGCCTCCCGGGCACTTGCAGTCAGTGCGGTGCAGTCAGCGAGAGACGCAGCTCTCCCCCAGTCAGCGAGTGTCTCAAAGGCTGGGGGGGAAGACATCTTGAGGTTCCTCACTCTCCCCCACTGGAGGGTAATTCTTTCAAATGCTTTCTCCAAAACCCTTCTCTCTCTCGCCCATCCAATCTGCTTCCTGCCCCGATCCCTCTTCCCTCCCCCTGCAGTCCCTCCTCAGCATCCCCGGCTCGCCCTTCCTCTCGCGCCACAACAGCCGCAGCAGCATCTTCAGCTTCAAGGGCCGCTCCAAGGACGCTGGCTCGGAGAACGAGTTCGCCGATGACGAGCACAGCACCGTGGAGGAGAGCGAGGAGCGCCGCGGCTCCCTCTTCATCCCCGTGCGCCGCAACAGCTACAGCGGGTACAGCCAGGGCAGCCGCTCGTCCCGCATCAACCCGCTGCTGCCGCACGGCGTCAAGAGGAACAGCACGGTCGACTGCAACGGCGTGGTCTCGCTCATCGGGGGCCCCGGGCCCAACATCCCTGGCGGACGGCTTCTGCCTGAGGTGATAATAGATAAGGCAGCTACTGACGACAGTGTAAGGACGTCAATGAGTAGATCAGTCTAGGCATGGCAGTCTCCTTCTTCTTCTTCCTCCTCTCCTTTCAACTCTTTCTTCCTTCTTCGAGTGTCCTGGCTGACCTTCGGGACCCTGTTCTTTATGTATGCTGCCCTCCCTGGTTCGGACACAAAGTACAATTTAAAGAGGAAAAAAAAGAAAAACAAGAGCTAGGCATGCATGTATCTGTGCAGAGTCCAGGCCCCCCGAAACCGGGCAGCCCTGACAGAGATGATCACATGTGCCACGCAACGCCAACCACAAGACCGAGCAGACCCAAACACGGCCATGACTGGCGTCGCTTGGCCTTGTGTGTCACGCAGAGGCTGATATCTATACTGCAGGCGCAGTAGTGATGCAGGGACACTTGGCCAGTGGAGGCGCTCAGTCTCATATAGCAAGGCTCTGCATCTGTATGTGTGCCTAGCTTTTTTGTTTGCCTGAATGAATTCCTACCTGGTGCTGTTGTGTTTTTCAATATGTATCCAGCCATCCATGTTTGAGCAAGGTCTGCTGTCCTGTGAGGTTATGTATAAGAAGCTCAAGTAGGTAGCTGCGTCAGCATGTTTAGGGTGCAAAGGAACAGGTAAAGGTTTATTCACTGCTGAGAGGAAATGAAAATAGAATAGTTTCTGGTGCTGACACCTGAAGAAAGCTCCACAGCAAACGTTGCATCTCTTTTCTTTTCCTTTCACCATGGAATAAACCTTTACCTGTTCCTCTAAAATATAAGGAGTCTGTGTGTGGGTGGGTGGTGTACCTGGTACCAGGGGGTGTACTTGTACATGCACTGAGGCAAAGCCATGCAGGTTCCAACAGGAATATAGGATGTGTTTCTTCTTTCAAAGCAGAGGATGCAGGTGGTATGTCTGGGATGTCTTGTGGACCTGTTTTGTGTGTGTGTGTGTGTGTGTGTGTGTGTGTGTGTGTGTGTGTGTGTGTTTTGATGGAAAGGGAGGAATGCTGTTCAGGAATAGGTGCTGCCCTGCAGAGTTAGAACCACCAGTACCAGATGACACCGAGTCAGGAGTGGGTTCTGTAAGAGACTGAGGTGCTTCCATCCCTGGAGATTCCTGCGGGGATGCATGCTCCCAAGTGTTTGAAATACAGGCCCTGGATGTTTAAAAACTCACAGCACCAGGAGGGTTTTTTTCTGGGCAAAGCCTGATTGATTGATTTAGATGCGTTTCCTCTCATCTTCCATCCCTCTCTTTGCCCGTGTAATGAGAATGATGCCCCATCTTGCTCCCTCTCTCCCTCTGAACAGACTCACATCCCTCTTCCTTTCGGAACAGTGGCTTGGAATTTTGCATGGAAAAATCCAGTCAGTTTTCTTTTCGGCAACTCTGAACCTGAGTCCTGGTGGTTTTTCCCTTGTTTTGTGTTGTGTTTAGATTATTATTCCCGACACATACTAAAGGGTTTTCTTGTATATACAGCAGGGCTGTCTTAAACGCATTCATTGACAAGAATTATTTCAGCTACACTTGCTACAGTAAGATGAATGAATTATAAATTTTGCTAGACATATCGCTGAAACATAAATTAGTATATAAACAGCTTACCACTATTTCATATAGGAGTCAAAAGTTATGATCTCAACTCCTGTATATATAGAGAGCTAAATCTGGTCTTCTTTGTTTGTAGTCATTCATTCATGATGATATTAGCTGTCTTTTGCCACCCATCTACATGATGATAACAGTGCTGTCATTCTGTACCAGCAGCCCTACTACACAGTAAAGAGGAGAGAGAGATTTCTTCACTAGCTGAATTAAGAATGGATGTTGTACCAGTTCAGAGTGGAATTTAGTCAGGACACTGAGATTAAAACCCCTACTTTTACAAGCAATGCCCTGCAATCTTCAGTGACAATGCAGTCGGGACCTTTGCTTAAATATCTCATCTGCATCAGAACAACAGCATCTCCTACAGCATAGTGTCTCCTGTCACCAGACTGGGACATTGGTTGGGGACTTCTTTACCAAAGGGAGTAGCACCATCTGCTGGTACCCCAACATTACTTAGAGCAGCAATCTGTTGTTTCCCTAGAACTGACCAAACACAGCTTCTGATGTCTGACCAGATCAGGCTGCAAGATGGGATGCTGTTGCTAAATGCAGCCTGATCTGGTCAGATGTTTTCTCAGCTGCAGTGTACATCCAGCCCATTTTCTGCTTCCCAGAGGAGTAACTCCAAGAAGGGAAATACACCTTTAGCTCACAAGTGATAAAATATTTATTGGAGAGGCAGGGATGATGGTACTACCGCAGGGTCTGCGTGAAGATATTGCTGAGATCAAGGATGCAGACTCTGAGAGCAAAGGTAGATTATATTAGACTAAGCTTTGCAGTCCAGATCTTACCTGCTTGGTTTCAGGTTGTGCCATCCGTGGATTGAGGTTGTGGTTACCTAGGCAGGAGCATCCGGCAGGCTGAGATCTTGTGGTCTTGGTCAGCTAACCTATAGTGGCAACCTGATGGGTACATGGTTGTTGATATCCAGAAAGAGTGCCCACTGGACGGTCAGACCAGAACATGACAGCCCAAGTCAAGTGTGTGTTAACGTAGCAATGCACAACTGCATTCAATAGAAGCAAACAAATTGATCTTCTAAACTTCAACACAAACCCCACGGCCCGTCAGACTGAGCTTTCAGCACATGTACACTGGAAAACTGAAACTGTTTCTGGTTTTAAAGTACCTTCCTGGAAATTCAAAGCCATTGTTTTTTTCTTTCTTAAAGGATCAGTATCAAAAATATTTTTCCTTTTACTCTTCCTTCTCTATCTTTCTTGCCTCCTCTTTCAGTTTCAGTCTTTTTCAAGCAACTTGTAGAAAAAACCTTTTTTTAGTGACTCTTCTCCATTCAGTTAGCATGTTAGTTTGACTTCCTTATACTTCTGTACGTCCTGCTGTGGTGTGTTTCTAGTCGTGTCGTGTGGTGGATGTATTTATTTTATCCTGTGCATGGCGATGCATGCAGAATCTTAGCCCCACGCTGCCAACCCCCTCCCTCCAGGGCCCTTACCCCCATGTTAGCAGCTTCAGTGGAGTCGGGGACTGGGAATGGGACTGAGTTTGAGGAGAAGCTGAGTGAGGAGAGCAAGTGTCTGTAGAAGTGCTTGGAAGCTGGTTTCTGGATTTAGCCTGACAACATCCTAATCTGATTGTACAACATGACGTAGTGCAGTTACCTCTCAAGGCTGGTCTGTCTGATACATTAGCTTCTGGGGCCACGGGACCCATGGGGCCACTTAGAAATCGCAGTGTGGATCTGTTGCAGTTTTGTGGATTCTAGAAAAGATGGAGCAGCAGGTGGTATGGCTCTCAACTCCTAGAACCTAGTTTCGATTCCAAATCTTGACATCTGTCCTGAATTGGGGCTGCCTTCATTGTGGAGTTTGCATGTTCTCATGGTGTCCTGCTTTCCTCACACTTCCCAAAGAAACATTGGCTAGGCTGGATGAGCTATTCTAAACAGCCTCTTTCTCTGTCGACCTGCAATGAATTGCCCTTACCCAGATGGCCTTTCTTTGCTGTCTCCATGTTGTGACGGAGGGCAGGTGTTAAAGAGCAACTGGATGCCGACTCTGAAACAACTGCCAGTTCCACATTGCATGGAAATACACTAAGGAAGATTGATTTTGATTTTTTTAGACAATAGATTAGGAAAAAAAGGAATCCCTCTTTTCTAGGTCTTGAGTCTAGCAGGGGAGAAAGTTGTCTTACAGGTTGAAATATGTGATTCACATGGGCCTGTGCTGTGCTGGTTCTTATCAGACACTTCCTGTTGAAAACAGTGTAGCAGGTTGTTAAAGAGGTGTTGCTGCAGGCACACCTGGGGATCAGACAGCAGGTTCTGTTATGGTTCTGGAAACCTCAGGTCTGGTCTTGCGGTATCACAAGGCTACAGAAGACCTTCTGGTCTGTGAATAATTTGCACATGGCTTTTTGTGTTTCCTGCAGACTTCTGAATGAAAACCGTTATATCTCCCATGTTCATGGTCTATCCCTTTGTCTTCCTCCGTCCAGTCTGTTTGTTTCAGCTTCGCTATGCCTCTTTGCTTCCCTGCACCCGATCCATGCTGTGGTAATATACAATGTCAGTGATATGGATATCCACCCCTTACCCACACTGGCTTTGTTTGGTTCCTTTGCTGTTGTGTGTGTGTGTGTGTGAGGGAGTGGGTTGATGGCTCTAGACTGGTGGTGAGCTCCCTGTACTATGTGTGCCTTCATCTCCACGGTTCTCACTGCCTGTTACTTCCCCCCACAGCCCACCACAGAGGTGGAAGTGAAGAAGAAACACTCAGCGTCCCTCATGGTGTCTGTGGACCAGCTGAACACCTCCTACGGACGCAAGGACCGGGCCAACAGCATCATGAGCGTCATCACCAACACGCTTGTGGAGGGTACCTCTTCTGTTACTTCTCCTTTTCCCTCTTCCTCTGAGGGATCAGTTTTAATTTTTGTTCAGTTTGCCAAAGTTCAAATCAAGCTTTCATTTGACATAAAAGTCACCGGGTCACAATGAAATACCGCAGAGGCTGGGGCGTGTCCAGAGCAGGAGTCAGGGACCGAGACGTGGCTCCATTGGTTCTGGTTTGCTGGTTCCAGCACATTGGGTTGGAGAGTCAACCAGTGCAGCGCTGGTGCTGCACTATGCTTTTCGTGCATTCCCCGTCAGATTTGAAGCTGTGTTTTTCAAGAAATTTTTTTCAAGAAGTTTAACTCATGTTGTTTGTTGAGCTAAGATGCAGGAAGTGGTGATTCTAGGTGTCTAGAAATAGCCACCCGGATCCTCCTCATCCTTCCCATACTGTTATAGCATGCTAGTTCTCAGTCCTGCCACCTTGGTGGCATTTTGCTCATCTGTCTAACCACTGTGCGGCGGGGCCGCCCTTCTCTTTTGCAGAACTGGAGGAGTCTCAGCGCAAGTGCCCGCCATGCTGGTACAAGTTTGCCAACACCTTCCTGATCTGGGAGTGCTGCCCGCTGTGGGTGAAGATCAAGGAGATCACCAACCTGATTGTGATGGATCCCTTTGTGGACCTGGCCATCACCATCTGCATCGTGCTCAACACCCTCTTTATGGCCATGGAGCACTACCCCATGACAGAACAATTCGAGCACGTCCTGTCTGTGGGCAACCTGGTGTGTACAGGGGGTGGGGTTGGGGCGTGGTTTAGGGGAGGGGAGGGGAAGTGGTCCATGGGGGGGCGGGGTCAGCTGGCAACATCCTGAGTGTTCCAGGGAGGTGGAGGGGCCAGGGGCATCTTTTGATTCATTATTCTATCCCGAAGCCAGGGCAGCCTGTGACAGCATAGTTCGAGAAGGGAGCTATGGGGAGCTAAGGGAGCATAGGCTGCAAATGAACAAGTAAAGGTTTATTCCATGCTGAAAAGAAACAGAATCCTGGAAAAGAAGTTCTGAAAAGAAACACATAATCACACTTGAAGAAGGCTCCACAGATGAAACGCTGTGTTTCTCTTCTTCTCTTTTCAGCATGGAATAAACTTTTACCTGTGACAGGATATATTTCACTTTCACCAACTGGCACCAAGGATCTCACTTTTGCTTTATTTAATTTTAAGGTTTCACAACTGAAATGTTTTCTTCTTCCTGCTTTTCAGAGTATAATTTAGCCTTTGCTTTTTCCTTTTTGCACACAACAGAGGCTGATGCACTCTACACCCAAACCTCTGTTGCACCTTTTGAACCCCTAACCTCTATGCATCTAATTTAGGATGCATGCAGAAATCCTGTGTTTTATTACACACTTTGAGAATGATTCCATCCTTGTTAAAATTACCCTGATTGTCGGAGCTAAGTTTTATCCTCAGGCATTTGTGTTTTATGTTGAGAATTCCTTGTTCAGGAAGAAGAAAACAATGTGTTTTTCCAGCTATCAAGGACTAATTGTCTGAGAAAAGGAGCGCTTTTCTGATTAACATATTAGTAGTAGGGTGGCACAGTGGTGCCATGGTTAGCATTGCTGACTCGCAGCACTGGTTCCCTGGGTCCAGTATGAGTTTGTATGTTCTCTTTGTCCATGTGGGTTTCCTCCGGGTGCTCTGGTTTTCTCCTACAGTCCAAATACATGCAGGAAGGTTAATTGGATTCTGGAAAAACAGGTCCAGATGTGTGCTCTGCAATGGACTGGTGTCTCATCCAGGGTGTATCCTGCCTGCCTTGTCCCCGTTGCTTGCTGGGGTAGGCTCTGGATGCCCGCAACTCTATTGGATAAAGCGGTTAGGAAAAGGATGGATATAAATTTGAGGAGAAAATACAGGGCAGCTGGTTTCTACTTTTACTCAGGTCTGTGTTTCACTGTTGATCCTGAAGGACTCCTTTTTTGTGAAAAACCTTTTAGGATTTTGAATATTTTCTATGGATTCTCTTGGTCTTCACTGTTCTAGACTCAGGAATGAGATTGTGAAACAAAACAAAACAGAACATCATTTTGTTTACCAATTCTTGAGTATATTTTCATTCACAGCTGAAGATATAATAATGTATGTGTTACTTATTTTATGCACCTTTCTTGTAGTGGGTATATCAAGTGTTTATTATAATGGGATGTGTTTCAGGAATATGTGGAAATTTGCATCAGTACATCTTTATGAAATAAACAGCAAAATATATTCTATAAAAACAGCTCTTAAATCCACACACTTCCTTACAAGGACAATGTGTATTTTTGTTGAGTTTGGGGATTAACAATTGCATATTGTCTATTGTATTCCAAGTATGTCCCTCTCTCTGAGCTTTGTGTTTGGAGCAGAATGTGAATTTTACATTGTCTCTTGTGTTGGCCTCTAGTCTCGATGCTAGATTTGTCTTATTTGTCTCACTGAGCTGAAGGTTGAGTGAATCAATAAGTGAATCATCTGGGGACTCGTAAATTGATGCCCTTGATTGACCGAAAAGATTCATTCAAGAAAAATGAATCAGTCGTGAAGCGCACAGTTCTGTTTGCCAGTGTGATCTGTAGTTAAGTGAAGGTGTTATATTTTAAATGGTCGCGTGGCCTAGAACATTTTGTGTGCGGGAATTTAGAGGTTACAGTGTAGCCACACAAGTGTGCAGCTAAGAGGGAATACAGGACGTCACTGTGCTGATTTCTTTGTCTCTGTCATTTTTTTCACATTGCAGGTATTCACAGGGATCTTCACAGCGGAGATGATGGCCAAACTTATCGCCATGGACCCCTACTACTACTTCCAAGAGGGCTGGAACATCTTTGATGGCTTCATCGTCAGCTTGAGTTTGATGGAGCTAGGACTGGCCAATGTGGAGGGGCTGTCTGTGCTGAGATCCTTCCGATTGGTAAATAAAATGAAACTCCTGGCTCCACTAAACCCCCTGATTTTCTTAGTTTTCTGATGGAACTGTGGTATGGTGGTTAATACTGCTGCCTTGCAACTCTGGTCCTGGGGTCCATTCTGGACTGAGGATCCTTCTGTGTAGAGTTTGCATATTTTAATCTCCTTAGCAATTAGTAGTAAATATCGGTTTTCCTGCATTTTACCATGCTCTTCTAATTTGTGTATTACACTGTGGCTGAAAAAGCAACCGCTGCCCTATAGCCCAAGCTGTTATTGAGATTACTTGATTTCTCCCAGCATACACACTGTGAGCTGGATTTGGTTGTGGATTCACCACTAAGGAGGACATGGATGAGAAATTTGGAACAGACAGCCTGAGGTCAGCGTTCAGCATGAATAGAAGTGGAACTGAGTGTACACTCCATTCTCAACTTGTGAACGGGTACTGTTCCAAAGCCCCATTCAGAACACGTGTCGTTCTTGAGTCGAAACAATGCGACTGAAAGTGATATCCCATTTCATTTCAAGGCTTATCACCATTCTTATTTCAGGATCTTATACATTTTGATCACTTTTTTCATGGAGTCACGGTGGAAAAGTCAAGTGTTACAGTTGACAAAACCACGGAGCCACTGAGTGAGCGACTCTCTGTAACCTGCAGCTTTATGCTGTACTCTTCTGCGATAGTAGTGATAGTAGTGAGCGAGCCATAGTCATTGTTCATACATTCCCAGCTATTCCACCATGTGGAATCCTTATTATTTCTAACAGAGACCAGTTCGTGCTCATATGTCTGGGCTGTTTGCATCTCAAGATCCCAGTATACTCTTGTTTTCTTGTATGCTCTGTCCCTCCCCAGAGAGGAATTGATTGACCTGTGGAAACCTTCCATTCATCCATTTTCTAGCAACTTCATCCAATTCAGGATCACAGGGGAGCCAAAGTCTATCCCAGCATGCAATGGGTGCAAGGCATGATATATCCTGGACAGGACCCTAGTCCGTCGCAGAGCACACACAAACACAAACACACACTCATACCTGTGCCGAATAACCTGCTAGCATGTCTTTGGACTTTGGGAGGAAACCAGAGCACCCGGAGAAAACCCACATGAACACAAACTCCACACAGATTGTACCACAGATTCAGAATTGAACCCAGGGCCTCAGCGCTATAAGACAGCAATGTTAACCACTGCATCACTGTGCCACCCACCTGTGGAAACCATCTTTGGAAATTGGTAAATTGCAAAATCAGTCTTGTGGTTGTTTTTAATTTTGGATTGATAGTTTCTGCTTTGTAACACTGTGTATTTGATCTATGAATACTTGTCTTTAGGAAGGTGACTGAGCTGTTTTGAATATACAATGGAACAGTTTTGAGTCCTCTTGTTTATTTAGTGAAGTCTGAAGTTCTTGGTTACAGCCGATCATTTATCAGGTTCTTTTTTATTAATTTCAATGACGGTGTTGTTTTTGTTATGTACTTCCCAATCAGTAGTCTGTTCTTGGACAGAATGTTAATCAAAATTCTTCAAGCCACTAATATCTGTTTCATCACCTTTCCTTTATCCCTTCCTCACTTCCTCCTCTTCCACTCTCCTTTCCTTATTGCATCTATCATCCCATCTCCTTCCTTTCACACTCTCTCTCACCCCACTCCCAGCTGAGAGTGTTCAAGCTGGCCAAGTCATGGCCCACCCTAAACATGCTGATCAAGATCATTGGAAACTCGGTGGGAGCCCTGGGGAACCTGACCCTGGTGCTGGCTATCATCGTCTTCATCTTTGCTGTGGTGGGGATGCAGCTCTTCGGCAAGAGCTACAAGGACTGTGTGTGCAAGATCGCCGCAGACTGCGAGCTGCCACGCTGGCACATGAACGACTTCTTCCACTCCTTCCTGATCGTCTTCCGGGTGCTGTGCGGCGAGTGGATCGAGACCATGTGGGACTGCATGGAGGTGGCCGGGCAGGCCATGTGCCTCATTGTCTTCATGATGGTCATGGTCATCGGCAACCTGGTGGTGAGAGACTCTTGCTTGACTTGTACTTTGCAATTTTTTAGCAATACCAAAAAGAATTCTTCTGCTCACAGTTTATCCAAACTTGATTGTGGAGAGCCACAGGGGCTTCTGATTTTAATTCAAACTTGATTCTGTTACTTAACTGAACGGCTCTCCAGGTCAGTGCTCTAAACTGGAAGTATGTCCCACTATTGACCGATGTGTGAATGAAACTGCTATCCAGTGGAGGCGTTTTTTTTCCCCTGTCCGTTAATTGTGACACTACGGATCAAGAGGAGATGGCCAATGGCAGGGTGAGGGATTTTCTAATCCCAGTGAAAACAGCTGTCTCCTCGGGATCGGGGGCTGCTGGGAGTGCTATGCATGCACATGGGAGAAGGTCAGGCGCTGCCCTCTTGCGTCTTGTCGTTTCTATTTAGCTCCTCTGCGCCTCTCAGCTGCTCTTTCCTCCATGCCTGGTTCCTCATCCCTTTTTCCATTCTCCAGGTGCTCAACCTGTTCCTGGCCCTGCTGCTGAGCTCATTCAGCGCGGACAACCTGGCGGCCACTGATGACGATGGGGAGATGAACAACCTGCAGATCTCCGTCATCCGCATCAAGAAGGGCATCACCTGGGTGAAGGCCAAGGTCCGGGTCTTCGCCACCACCTACCTGAAGAAGAAGGTGACCGACGAGGTAAAGCCTCTGGATGACATGTACGACAAGAAGCTGAACTGCATTGCCAATCACACCGGCGCTGACATCAACCGCGAGATGGACTTCCAGAAGAACGGCAACGGCACCACCAGCGGCATTGGCAGCAGCGTGGGCAAGTACATGATCGACGAGGACCGCATGTCCTTCATCCACAACCCCAACCTGACCGTGCGCGTGCCCATCGCCGTGGGCGAGTCCGACTTCGAGAACCTCAACACGGAGGACTTCAGCAGCGAATCGGACATCGAGGGCAGCAAGGAGGTGAGAAGGGGTGTAATTAGTTCACAATCACCTTTCCATTGGTTCCAGCATGATGATCCCCTTTGCATTGTTTCAAGAGTGTAATTATGTGAAAATGCACAAATCTCTTGCACATTGCACTTGCTGTTGTTTCCACAATATTAGAATTTAATATATAACCTAATGTAGTTTTCACGTACCTGCTGGAACAGCAGTATATGTATATTTTTATTATTTCATAAAGTAGTGGGTTTCTGAAGCCTCTCTTAAAACAATGAAAAAAAGCTTTGCATATAATAATAATAATAATTGCTTACACTTATATAGCGCTTTTCTGGACACTCCACTCAAAGCACTTTACAGGTAATGGGGACTCCCCTCCACCACCACCAATGTGCAGCATCCACCTGGATGATGCGACGGCAGCCATAGTGCGCCAAAACGCTCACCACACATCAACTATCAGTGGGGAGGAGAGCAGAGTAATGTAGCCAATTCATAGAGGGGGATTATTAGGAGGCCATGATTGGTAAGGGCCAATTGGAAATTTGGCCAGGACACCGGGGTTATACCCCTACTCTTTTCGAGAAGCGCCCTGGGATTTTTAATGACCACAGAGAGTCAGGACCTCGGTCTTACGTCTCATCCGAAGGACGGTGCCTGTTTACAGTATAGTGTCCCCATCGCTATACTGGGGCATTAGGACCCACATGGACCGCAGGGTGAGTGCCCCCTGCTGGCCCCACTAACACCTCTTCCAGCAGCAACCTTAGTTTTTCCCAATGTGGCCAATGTGTTTTGATTTTCCAGTATCCCTGAGGCTTGATCTCTTGAACCTTGTTTTTTTAACATTTGAGTGGCGGTGGGTTTTGGCAGGCTGGATGCAATTGGACTTGGTGCTGCAGGCATAAAAACAAAGGAGGGGAGGAGCTTCAGAGCGCAGTGAGGGGGAACTTGGTGAGCCAAGGAGGATGGTCAACTAGGGACCCATTCACTTGGGCTATTACCCACCTGAGTGCTGAACTTTTAACAGACCTCACAGTAGTTTTGATTTAGACACTTTCATTGTTTTCTGTTCCTAAAGGTAAGAGGTCTGCCTGCCAACTGAAGTGTTTCTTATGGAACTTAAAATCTCCACCATTTGAGTAGCAAACAACCTGCCATGGTCCTAATCAAGCAGCTTGTTGGTTTAGTTAAGGATTCATGAGAGTCAAGAGCTCAGCTGCAGTGAAGACCAGCAGGTGTGGGGTCCCCCCAGGGACCGGGATTTGGAACCCTTGAGCTTCATTACAGTTTGAGCTGTGTTGAAGGGGGCCGATATCCTTGTAGTTCTTTTTACAAAGCAGAATGGATCTGTGTGCAACAGGAGCGCTCCTTCTTTAAACTTTGGGAACTCTGACTTCCCGCTTCTCATTCCTCCTCAGTTGTCGCATTGGCTGCTCTGGGATTTTCGCTTGTCCTTTGCTTTATGGTCACTGGACAGAGCTGGATACCCCGTGGGAATTTCATCCTTCAAAGGGCTTTTTACAGACTAGCACCCGGAGTGTAGATTCCACTTACACAGACCAGCAGGCAAAGAAGCCTGGTATTTCAGTGTCTTGTGCTTGCTAGTCCATTTCAGGTAAAGGGTGCAGAGCAAGATCCATCAACTAGGGCGGGAATGCTGGGTAATTTATCTACACACTGCAGATAGCTGTGGATCTGTGAAGATTCCTGTGGCCCGCCCAGCTCCAATGGGACTGTTGCAGGCCTTCTGTAAAACTGCCAGAGAAATGGTCCATGATATCATCATGGAACTGGAGCTAGTGTGTTCTGGTGTGTTTTGACAGCTGTGGGCCTCTCACATTTGTCCCATGTGGTTTTTAAAATGGTGCCACTCCGAACTGAGAGTGCGAAGCCTCTACCAGCTGCCTGGAAGGCCAGTTGTCTGTGCAGAGAGGTGGTGAAACATATCTGGCAGCTATGCAGTGCTGATTTTTTATTCCATTTAGTTGGTTGTTTTTTGAATGAGTGCTTATTCTGAGATGTGGTCTCTGCTTTGTGGATGCTCCCCAGCATTAGGCAGTATCAGAATGCAGGCTGTGGCTCTAGCTGCCGGTAGTAATTTGTGGGCTAGAAATGTATTTAATTGAGGTGGGGGAGAGTGGCTTTGAGGTGTATCGATTTGCCTAGCGAGAGGATTTATTTCATTGGCTGTTTTTTGTAGTTTCTCCTGTATTCGCACATTCAGCTCCCTGATGCTGCAGATAATTTCTTCTCTCTTTTATTCTTGCTAATGCAAATTATGAGCGAATGTGGAAATGGTTTTGAGAGTATTTTAGATTGCAGAAGGGAGAAAAATTAGGTATTTTCCCAGGGTGCTTCCAGGCTGCTGCTGTTGCCATCAGAAAGGGCATTGATGGGTTTAACAGGAATCTAAGCAGAGAACCCACAAAGGAGAAGGTGATGGAGGGGAGAGAGGACTGACACGCTGCTCACACACACTGCTGTATAGAGAGAAGCAGGGCGAGTCCAGAAATGCTTCATTAAGCAGGTGATGTGTCAGTGATGCTGGGTGCGCAGCTGGAAGAGAGGGGAAATAAATAGTGGAGAAATCTGAACAAACCTTATGTCTCTGTGAACATGTGCCTCCGAGCCGGCACGCAGGCCACCTTCACCCAGACTGGGGGGTGTGGAGCCTACCTGTGGCACATGCCCTGCTGGGGCCAGTCTCTCCTGCAGCTCTGGTGTCCACCAGCTGGTGCGACAAGAAGGGAGCTGGCGGGTCTCCACCAATCATGATGCCCAAAGCTAAGGCTGGCATAAATCTGGGTTGTGAAGGCAGCGGTCAGGCCAGTCAGAAGGCAGATATCTTGTGCTTAGGCTGCTGGGAAGGAGCTGGATTGTTGGGGCCAATGCAGGCAGCTGGGCAGTTAGGCAGGTGCTGCACTTCTTTGGCAGATGAAGAGGGTTCCCCTCCTATACATAGGATCCTCTGGGACAAAAAGGCCATACGGATACACGCACTTATTCATTGGGCCACTCTGAGTGCTCATTCAAGACTCCGGGACACCTTATGCCTTGAGTAAACAGATTTCCACTCTGCTTGCAATGATGGGAGAGGGGGAGGGTTCTGCTCGCCTCCCTCCCCCTCCCCCTCCTCCTCCTCTTATCTTCCTGCTGCAGGCCTGCTTGCAGAGTGATGCACTGGTGGCGACTGGAAAACTAACCCTGCCAAATCACACACTTTCCTGCCTCGCAAACAAGATCAGAACAAAACATAGGGAGCATAAGGGAGAGCATAGGGAGATACCTTTGGTTGTAACAGATGTGCTTTTTTATTTTCATTTTATTTTTAAAAATCTCAATCATAAGGAATAGTCTTTATTTTAGCAACAATGCTGGTTTTCAACCTACCTCTATAAAAATATATTAATCTCAGTGCACTTTATGTACACGATGCCTATACGGTGTGCATATCATCCGGGTACAGCATATTTCGGGATACATTCCTGGCCGTGTGCAGCTCCCGGCTTTGGGTTTGTGCCTTAGGCCACTCCCTGTCTCCTCCACGCAGTGGTGCAGAGTGCTGTGCGCCGATTCTGAAGCACTGCAGCCTCTGAGTGCAGCTCCTCTCAGAGATCACAGCCTGGTTTATCTCCATCTCCCTGCTCAATAAATCATGAGGCTCTGACTCGGCAGCCCTGCTATTTACTTCAGCAGCTGCCGGGTAGTGTTTTCTATATCCTTGCATCATCCGTACATAATTCCAGCTGTGACCTGTACAGAGTGCACAGACTCGGCACGTTTGCGCCATGTAAGCATTTGTGTTAGAAAAGGCGCTGTCAGAGTTTTTTTTTTTACCAAGTTCATGAGATGAGACAAAAAAAGCAACTGTAAACAGAGCTGTGAACCCAGTGGCTCTGTTTCCCTTTCCAGAAAGATGGCGGATCTTGGAATGCTTTAAGGAACGTACACTGGGCTGACTCTCAGAGCTCATGATGCACAGCTGTTTAATCCATTTCTGGTTTCACAAGTTGCACAAACTGATAATTGTATCAACGAAGGGGGGAAAAAAGTATGATTTTTTTACTTCCATGTCTCAGTCAGCAGAAGACAATGCTAACAGGTTCCTGTTGTTGTGGTCAGAAATAGGGAGCCTGCATGATGGCTTAAACTGCTGTGCATTTGGAGTCTAACACCAAGCAGCCCCAACAGCCTGAGCATTGTTTTAACTTCCTTATTGTTCTCCAGCTGGACGACACCAGCTCCTCAGAAGGAAGCACCATTGACATCAAGCCAGAGGTAGAGGAGGTTGCTGTAGTGGAGCAGCCAGAGGAGTATGTGGATCCTGAGGCTTGCTTCACAGAGGGTAAGCCTGAACATACCAGTCAGGGGCTCAGCTCAGGCGACCTTCTCCTGAGCAAGGTAGGGTTTGTAGTACACCAGGACAGGGCTGACTTCCCAAGACAAGCAGATGTTTTCATGTCACGTCAGAAATTATATGGATTTAAAACATGTTGAACTGACCTCTGCTGCCAGCTCCGTGGGTTCTGTGTGCTGAAGCCCCCTCTGTGTTTTTGCTGCTCTCACAGCAACTCGGTGCTGCTCTCACAGGGTGCGGCACTTCAGATCTTAAAACACCCTGGCAGCCTGATGGTGCAGCACATCCTGGACTGGTAGTTGGGGGTGGCTCCTCCAAATATGGAGAACTTGAACTCAAGACATCTCCTTTGAAGTGGCAGTACAACATCATGCTGATGTAGGGATACAAGAAGTCACAGCACAGTTCAACAAAAGTTTGAAATAAATTTAATTTGGTACAAAAAAGGCTCTATTCCAAAGAACACTCACAAAGTGCATCTTCCTGTAATGGACTACATTACAGGGGGTTTGGAATCTGAGTACAGCCCCATTCTCTCTCTGATATTACCATATTTAGGAGTGATCACTGCAAATTCATATAACATCACTTTATTAACCCTTTACAATTTCTTGCATTAGGAATTTGTCTTTTCACATACCCCAGCTTGCTCTCCATGAGACACACAGATTTGGCGGGATTTGAACCAGCAACCTTCCAGCCACAGGCATAGATCCTTAGCCACAGAGCCACCACTCCACTCCAATATGAATCTATGCATAGATTTCCACCCATGGCACAAGATTATCCCCTCCTTTCAGTTATTCTGAAATGTCACATACTGTACAGCAGATGTCCGTGTTCCTGCAAAGAGCAAATGTAGAATGACCCCAGATCAAATTCTGCACTGACCTGGAAGTCAGAGTGCAGGCGTGTGAGGACTGAGCCCCTGGGCCCGTTGTGCTCTCCGGCAGGCTGCATCGCACGCTTCAAGTGCTGCGACGTGAGCATTACGGAGGGCTGGGGGAAGTACTGGTGGTTCCTGAGGAAGACCTGCTACCTGATTGTGGAGCACAACTGGTTCGAGACCTTCATCATCTTCATGATCCTGCTCAGCAGTGGCGCTCTGGTAGGTCGCCGGGCAAGTGTGGTGCATGTCTGCGTGTCAAAAAACAATAACCCACACCTTCACAACACCCTTCTGTATACTTCTTACAATTGAAAATTATTATCTTTAAGTAATTTGCAACTTTCAATTCTGTTTTTACAACTTTGCACAGACTATTTGTGAAACACCATACATCTTCAAATACAGTCAGATTTCTCAGTCGTCTGCAGTGCGATGAATTAATTGTAAGATGACCCTGCTCTTCACCAGCCCCTCACACATCCACACTACCTCCACAGACCCTGAGTCCTCAATCTTATTTTTCCAGGTCTTGTAAAATTGCTAGTTGGGCCTGGTCTAACAGAATGTGAGCAAACGTTATCTGTTGAGTATGATTTTAAACTGTAAACTGTACCCCTTCGATTCTCCTTGAATAAAGCAACACCTGTACTTGATTGTTATTGATACAACAGATAACCGAAACACTTGAAGAATGCTTCATAGCCAAAATATTTTTCTTCTTTCCCTTCAAGAGTTACAAAAGAACACAATATATTATTTAAGCATAATTAAAAGAGTGGGTCTCTAGTCCAATATAATTTTCAATAGCTGCGTTAGATCCCCAAAAATGCAAGAGAGAAATAACTGACGTCCATGGTGTACCCTGTCTTGTACCCATTGCTTGCTGAGATAGGCTCTGACTCTGTGACCCTGAATTGGAAGAAGTGGTAAGAAAATGTACAGAAGGCTGGACTCAGTTAGTTTGACCGAATTCAGGAAGCTGAGAGGAGGGCAGCCTGACTCTAAGGAGGAGGCTGACTGAATCCTTCTCACTTCTGTGAGGAATGAGCCAGGGAGCTGCTGCAAGGGAGCAGATGGGATGTAGAAGAAATACGCGAAGGGATACCCAGGATGTGAGATGTACATGTACATAAGGAAAGCAGAAGTATGCAAGCTAAGGACCTCACCTGAACTTCTATTACAAACTCCAATTGTTCCAAACAAATTTGCCAGTATAAGAAAATATTAATGTAATGATCGGCTTTACAATTCACACAGAAAAGCTAATTTTGGGGAGAAGATCCAGATGATTATTAGTAAATTAAACCAGTTTTCTGCTGACTATTAATTCTTGACATTAGTTGTAAATGTTGTATTTTTTCATATAAGAGTCATTAACATTGTGTGACATTTTGTGTATATATGTATTTCTAAACACACTCCTGTTTAGACGGAAACTTGCTATGAGGTAGCTTGTTATGAAGGCCAAGAGGTTGCAAGGGCAGCTGTGTGCTTTTCCTGTGGGAAAGGCCCTCTCTCCCAGAGTAAAGTGAAGCATGGGAGTGTAATCCGTATCTGCTCAGGATATGTAATATGATGGACCTTAATGGATAGTGAAGAGGGTTAATGCACTGGCCTTTCACCCTCGAATCGGGCGTAGGGTGCAACTGCTGTCATAACTGCAGTTCTGCCTCTCCTGGGGGCTCAGCACACTTTTTTTAAAGTAAAATGCACTCAAGAATCATTTTGTGTTCCTATTTCCCAGTTAGTGATTATATTTTTTGCCAATCACTGATGTGGCTGTTATGGGAATTCACCACCCAATCCAACAGTAGGTACTGTATGGAGATTACTGTAGAAAAATGTACAGTAGGACAGACATGCTGTAAAAGAGGTGAATAAGAACAGCACAGTAAGTTGGTCATGTTAGAATGGCAGTCAGGCAGCAGTGTGGTGCTGTGCTTAGGGTTCTGGACTATATAGTAGGTCTATATAGTATATAGTAGGTTGGAGGTTTGAATCCAAAGAGAGATGTTGTACTTTTGAGCAAGGTACGTCACCCAAAATTGCTCCAGTAAAATGTTTAATTACATATGATCATGATAGTGCAAAGATGTCACTTTGGATAACATCATTTTCCACAGTGACTTATATTTGATAACAGTTTGGATAATGGTGACATACATTAGTTAAATAAGTTATTAAAAACAATAGGAGGCTACAGTAACACTACAGAAAATAGTACAGACAAAACACCCCAGTAATAACATAACTATAGTCAAAGTACAGGAAATAGTCATGTGACCGCTGGGAGATATAGTCACAGTACAGTAAATGAAATACAAAATCAATCTCAATCAAGTAGTCAAGTTTAAAAATAAATATATAAATGTGTTTCTTCCCCTCTCTCCTCCCCCAGGCATTTGAAGACATTTACATTGAGCAGAGGAAGACCATTCGTACCATCCTGGAGTACGCTGATAAGGTCTTCACCTACATCTTCATCCTGGAGATGCTGCTGAAGTGGGTGGCCTACGGTTTCGTCAAGTACTTCACCAACGCCTGGTGCTGGCTGGACTTCTTCATTGTTGACGTATGTACCCCCTTTTTTATCCATGATGCCAAACATGTGCTTCCATCTCCTCCAAAAACCTGTGCTGTAGTCCCTGCCGTCCCAGGACCCAGTATCCTATGGGGGGATCCAGGCCAGTTCAGTCCTTGAAAAACAGCTGTTACTAATGTCACTAAAATACTCCACTGATCTCTTACCAGTGTTGATAATGTAATTAAGTAAGTGGAGAGATTGTACTGGAATGGATGCACCCTGAACAGGTTTATTGTCTCTTTCCATACCAAGAGCTCTGTGCTGCAGGCGGTTCAGAAAGCCTGTCTTCCAGGCTCTCGTGACAAAATAAAAGTGGTGTTTCAGCATCAGTTTTACTGCTAAATCCCTGATCAATTCCTAGTTTTTTGAGAGCAGACTGAGGGCTTCTTCACTGCCTTTAAAGGTCAGTGGTCTCTCTCCGGAGAGCTACAGGTTTTTTTTTTCTGAAGGGTTCCATGTTCCTGAAATGAACCACTTATTTAATAAAGGAGACAAATGAAATTGGATCCATCACAGATTGAAGATTTCTCTCAGGCGGCATGGTCTGGGCCTCCGCTGGAGTCGTATGACAGATAGTGCATAACTCTCTCATCACCAAGACCCAGCTCATGAGGGAAGCCCACAAGCAACAGGAAAAATGAACAAAACAGATGCCGAAACTGAGATGCTTCCAAATGTTATATTCCCCATCCCTTGTGGATCTGCTGTGTTATCATGAAAACTGTATGCATGCAAGTTACTCAGATAGGAATAGAGCGAGAATACACAGCTCCAGTCCTGCAGGTTCCTTACTGGTACCAGCTGACCTCCTGATTACCTAATTGAACTCGTTAGTTGCTCAGTTGGATGAACTGAAGCCTCTCCTTGTACATGGAAGGCTTTAGATAATAATAATGTAATAATAATAATAATGTAATCATGTAATAAAGAGGATTAAGAAGGAACTATAGAACCTGATGGACTGCCCTCTAGGACTGGAATTGGGACCCTTGCTATAGAGAAGCTATAGACAGACAGATTGATAGATAGCTGGATGAGGAGACTGACCTTTGAGTGGAATGTTCGGTCCTGCTGTGCTTTGACAGAGCCGATATGGGTGGGGTCTTTATCCTGGTGTTCCTGATAGTGAGGTGCTTTGCTGAGATTTTGGGGTTCCAAAGGACTAAATCTGTCCTGCAAAACTCCCTGTGCCCTAGTAATCCTGTATCTGTAGAGGAGGGAAACATCAGGGGTGCACTGGACACTGGATCCCCCTCTCTCCCCCAGGAGAATTGACCTGTGGACATTCTCCTTGCAGATAAAAGTTGACGTTGACTGGCTGCTCTGTTGCTCAGTGCTCTTGGTATGATAAGACACCCGGATCAGAATACCTGGCAGTATGGTGGGACTACTCTCTGAGAGCTTGGGTTTTACTCCCAAACTGGTGTGACAGTGGTACTGACCTAGCAAGCACAGCACAGAAAGGGCACCCACAATCGTACTCATCGCAGCCAGGTTTTGTTTTCTGTGTTGTAGTTCAGTTTATGCATGTTATTCCATTAGCTATACAAGAAACACATGCTTACGAGCTGAGTCCAGCTGAGCCTCCAGTGGCCGTACTGCAAATTTATTTCTATTATTGTCCTTTTTAATCAGCCACTCATTCTGAAATGGAACAGGGTGTCATTGTGGCTAAAATAGTGCTCTGTGTTAAAGATACTTTTTGACACCATTACATTATAATTAGCAATTATGATGGTTATTTTTTAAATTTGTTACAGTTAGCGCTTTACTTTGATATTTCAGTGTCCATGAAATATCAAAGTAAAGCGCTATCAGAAGCATCCCCGCAACTGTAAAAGCAGTTGTTACATAAGGGGTTTTGCTATTGGGTTTGCCAGGTCTTCAATATGTTAAACTGCCCCAGTGCTGCTCTTGCCCCTGTCTGTACCACTCTGACACCTGTTGCCATGAGGACCTCTGGGTGCAGGTGGTCTTACTGCAAAATAGGGTGTGGCCTGGCTGGGCTGGACACGTGGCACACTAAGGGTCATCCGCAAACAGCATGAAGGGAAAGGGTTTGGAGGGCAGGATCCCCTGAAATAGGGCTTCTTAGCTTGCAGCCTTTCCCAACTACTCCATTGCTGCACTTTGATACTGTCAGTTCCTTAATTCCTGTATTGGTCCCCAATTAAATAATTATGGAACTGGTTGAAGCCAAAAGGTGTGATGGAGTGGACTAGGGGGGACACAAGTTGGAGACAAGTACCCCTAAAGTTTTGATTTTCAAAAAAGACTTAAACTCAGCAATGCAATCTGTTTAGGTTTTTTGATACAGTAATAGCAAAATAGCATATTATGAGCCATAATATTTTTTCTTTCTTCACTCCACTACACAGTAAAGCCTCTTTTTTAATTTAGTTTCTGAGACAAGTAGGGTTTCTAAGAGTAGTTGCTATTCTTTGGAGATCAGATCTCTTTACTGTAGAGCTCAAGTTCTGCTGAGATCTAGAGTAAACCACATTGTGATTTTGTGATTTATAGTTTAGCAAAAATAGTTCTCCCCCCTCCTTCTGTCAGTCCACCTTGTACTTAACGTTTTATTTGTTCATTGGATCTCTAGAGTACCGTTTGTCCCATTTGCTCCAGATCTATGTTAATTCAATGAGAGCCAGGAGAAGCAGACTACAGTAGGGTCTCTCGGGGCTGACTTCCAGGATCCCAACCACTTCTGAAAGTGCTCTCTCTGGCCAGCAGTGTAAAGGCTGATCTGCTTTAAATAAAGCACAAGATTAAATTTAGATTCACAGCTATACAGCAGGCGGAGTCCTTGCACGTTAAGCTGAGGGGGAAAAGACCCTTTTATTTCCATATGTTAAAAAGTGGATAGCATGCAAATTGAGCCTTTTACAACCCACCTCCTCTTCCTTTCCTATGCCTCCTGGAAGTTAATGTTGTTTACGGATAACCCTAGGTGCCATGTCAAAGGCACACTGGTGCACTAGAGGGCAGTGATGATCAGAGGTTTGTGTTCTGCTGCTGCTGTGTGCTGGGGTGTTAAATGGCAGCTTTGAAGAGGTGAAATTGTAGCATTACCCTCCTAAACAAGATTCCTTCATTATTTTTCTACAGTTGAAGGAGCGATAAACTGTCTTTGATTCTCGCACAGTAAAAGTGTTATGCAGTGATATCAAGCTAAACAGCAAAAAAGACGGATTAAAGACGGATTGGATTTCTTTGGAGGGAAGATCTTGTGCTCAGGTGTGCCACATCTCTGCAGAAATACACTGAACTCAGCAGAGCGAGAGAGAAGTGCTTGTCATGTCAGACTGCCTTCTACTCATCAGGTGTCGCCCAGCCCTCCAGAAACTCAGTTGACGTCGAAGCAGGACTCTGGCTGTACAGCTGATTTGAGACCACTCTGGATTTACCAGCTGCAGGGCTCCTGTGTGCAATGCCTGATCGTTTCCCACACTATCAAGAGCCACTGGACCAGGAGCCCTGCAGCTGGAGCAACCTGGAAAGTGTCTCACTGCTGGGCAGTGGGAGTCCTGTTTCCATCCCTGGTTCCGTGCCTCCGGTGTGCAGCTGTGTTTGCGGTGTCTGTGACAATGTTCTAACCTGTGATGGTGGTGAAAGTGCTGTTGTTCAGGTGTTGGATTTCACTGACTTGATTTCATGACTCTCATCCATGTTGTTCTTGTGTACCAGTTTTCTTATATCGTTGAAACTGAACAGCTTAATAGAAAACGCTGCCTGTTTCCTCACCCTGGGCCCCAATGTTCCCAATGCTACCACCTCATCCAGCGTTGCAGATAAGCGACTGCTCTGTCTGTTTAAAAAACCCCAGCCTATAATCACGCAGCCCAATTAAATGTCAAGAAAGAAAATAATAAGAATCAGGGCAATTAATTAATTAGAAGCCTTAATTATATATAATCGAGGTGCTTTCTGTGTGGAATTTGCATGTCCTCCTGTTCTTGTGGGTTTTCTTTTATTGCTCAGGCTTCCTCCCACCTTCCAAAATCATGCTGACTGCCTTATCTGGCATCTCTAAATTGTCCCCCTGTGTGTGCGTGTCCTGCAATGGACTGGTGTCCTGTCTGGGGTGCAGTCCCGCCTCGTGCCCCCATGCTTCCAGTCTACTGCAGCCCTCAGCATGGACATCTTATCCAGCAAGTCGAGGCATCTGCAGCTGCTGTGATGTTTGCGTTTCCTGGGGGACGTCAGCCCCCCTACTTGCAAGGTGACAGGCCCTGGGTGGTCAGGCAGCGTTTGGCAGCTTCAGGAAGCCTGACCTCAGCCGTGGGCGCGGGAGAGCGAGAGCAGGCTCGCGGTGCTTGGCGCAAGGGCGCGCGGGTGTTTTCTGGCACCGTTTCCAAGTGATGCAGGAGGCTTCTTTTCTCTCTGCTCTAACCTTGACCCTAACTTATCCCCTTTTGACAGTGTCCAGTGCGTTCTTGCTTCCGACAAAACCCCAGGGAGGGGGAGTATCCGATGGGCGAGGGATTGTTGTGAAATGGGGTTCTAAAGATCTCCTGTCAGTTATTACCTTGAAGATAAATGTATATGTAATTTCTTGAGTATTGTAAGAATTTTGAGCACCACCCATAGCGGAGCACAAGACAGTTCCCTCCCAGCAGATCCCACATTTACTACTGAGTAAAGAGGAGCTGCAGATCCACTGTCTGGTCTTGCAGTTTTCTCACCCCAGAGGACAGATTGAGACATACAGCCCTGGAAATCAGTAGGTCCAAATTCAGTGTTCTAGAACTGGGAACCAGCATTCTGTAGCAGTCTGGTCCCTTTCAGGTGTTACAAGCAGCCAACTGTTGAATACAAGCCACCCCACACTGACCTGGCCATGAACGTTCTCCTGGTGGAAAAGTCTGCTTTACTGATTCTTTGGTGAAAATTCCACAACAGCAATGCAGCTGATATGGATAAACATTTATCCACAAATGTTTATAAACCAAATAAGGATAAGATTTGCATTGCAGTTGGACTCT